TCGCGAATGTTTCATTTGTGAAAAGGTTTCGTGTGATTTTTGATAAAAGGAGGTTGTTTGCTGACGGCAGTACAGAACCATTCGGGTATTAAAAATGGAAACTGATTTTGACGCTAGACTAAAATTGCCATTCAGTGTACAAATTGCTGGTCCGTCAGGCTGTGGAAAAACCTTTTTTGTAAAAAGTATTTTGGAAAATTGTATGCAATGTTTAACTGAAATGCCTGAAAACATCGTGTGGTTTTTTACATCTTATCAACCTATGTATGATGATCTTTGTAATAAAAGTATTCGATTCATTCAAGGTCTCCCGCTTTCATTCGAGGATGATGATTTATTTCCATCGGGTCAAAACCACTTGGTGATCTTGGATGACATGATGTCTCAAACCTCCAGCCATCCTGGAGTGCTAAAATTATTTACGCAGCTGAGACATCACAGAAATATGAGCGTCATTTTAATCACTCAAAATGTTTTTCATCAAGGAAAACATAGTCGTTCCATCAGCTTAAACACCAATTATTTGATTTTGTTTAAAAACCCTCGAGACAAATTGCAAATCAATGTTTTAGCAAATCAAATATATCCTACCCAAAAAAGATATTTCATGGAGAGTTTTCAAGACGCTACGTCAGAACCGTACGGTTATTTAATTGTGGATTTAAAAGCGGAAACGCCAGAATCTTTCCGTCTCCGTACGGGTTTACTTCCGGATCAGCTCACCGCGGTGTATTTGCCTAAAACAGAGCCATGTCAGCCCGGATAAAACGCAACGCCAAGATTCTACGTGCTTTGTCACGTATGAAGCATCGTCAACGTCAGGAGTTTTTAAAAGGGTGCTCCGAGGACGTTCTGAAGGCTTTGTGCGAGATAGCTTTAAACGTGATCAAAGGAAATATACGTCTGTCGCCGCGTCAATTTCGAAAGTTGTCTAAAAGCAAAACGGTGCTCAGACAGTTGACTCATAACAAAACTAGCCTTTTTAAAAAAAAGAAGCTTTTAGTCGGCCAGAAAGGCGGATTTTTACCCATACTACTAGCAGCCGCTGCGCCTCTGATCGGCGAACTGATAGGTGGCTTAATAAGGAAATAAACGATGGCTTCTCAAAAAATGTTTATGGTGACCCCCCAACAATTACGTCAGCTTGTTAAACCTACAATACGGGACGTGGCTGAAGAGAATCTTGACTCTGAAATGAAATTAATTATGCAGGAGACGGGATTAACGCCGTATGAGAAAATTAAAAAATACAATGCGCTGCTACAGCGTTATCTGAAGTTGATGAAAAGCGGACTACACGAAAGTGCAACTCCCACTGAACCGCAGCCAGATCTTTGTTTTAAAACTTACCGCCACCTGCAGAACAAAAAGGAAGTCATTTGCTTTGTCAGAAGTCGCTGGCCGTGCAAAATTGTTTAGAATGAACTTTAAGAAAGCTCAACAGATCTTAAAAAGCATCACGCTGAGGTAAGGATCAACTTTTGAAAAAGTGTCTGAGAGCTGCATGTAAATAACACATTTAAACACAAAGTTTAAGACTGAACATACGAAATCCAACGTGAACATATGCCAGATGGCTGAGTAAATCAAAGAGATTATTAATGACATAGACAATGTGTCACTCTGAAGAGTTTGTGTGTGTGTTCAGCAAAAGGCTGCAAAAGTTCTTGCATTGACTTCAGCTTATGCCACTCACTCGAGAGCAAGCAGACCATCCCATCTTGTTTGCTACTTCACAAACAGATTCTTTAACTTTGAGGAGACGTACAACCATTTCATAAGTACTTGACCAGCGTGTGGGGCTGTCATTCACAGCAGTTAGGCCGCACTCATCCACTGTCAGTGAGCCATTTTTTTCTTAGAGCTCGGCTTTTCACCATTCGGACAGATCTGAGCTTTTAAAGAGTTAAACACAATAGGATTACACTCAGAAGGGAGGGGCTGTGGGAACCGATGGGCTATCACAAAAAAGAAACCACACACCATTACACACATTAGCCTATGACGTGGGATATCATGGACGCTCAACAATACGCCATTGATGATGCGGCGTGGGGGGTCTAGACCATCTGGACACGTTCAACAATACGCCATTGATGATGCGGCGTGGGGGGTCTAGCCCATCTGGACGATTAACAATACACATGTCCATTTGATTAATGATACGGAAGGGGGGGCAAAGATTGAACAATACACCTGTCCATTTGATTAATGATAGGAAGGGGGGGCAAGGTCAAGGGTCAAATGAACAATAGGAATGAAAGGTCAGAGAACAATAGACCTGTCAAAATGTTTGACGAAAGGTGTCTTATAATCCTCTCTTACTATATTTCTACAACTTATGATTATGATGAATAACTGAAGGTGAACTGAAGGTGAATGATTATTCACGGTAAAATCAACAGAGACGATAACCAACTCTAATGAAACATGACCGTGGATGTTATTTAGAGTCTCAGGGTTTCCCTTACATAGGCGTAGCCGTGGCGGCCCGCCACGTCTGAAATCCCACCGCCACGCCTACAAGATCCCAAGTTTTTTTGTTTTTGTTGGCGCTGTTTCCCAAAGAAGCAGCGGGAACTACTATGTTGTCGCTTGTGATTACAGCCGGCGGGCAGCAAGGAGGAGCAGGCAGGGCAAGGTGAAGTTTCAGCATAAGTTACTGAGTTTAAAATTAGAAAGGTAGCAGTGGATATAATGCTTTTTGGTTTACATGTTTCAATAGCATTAAGATAAGCGAGTGTTGACGATCTTGACAGGGTTTCCTCCAGTGCTTATTAGGCCAGGTTCTCCTCCCCCCCACCAGGCTAAGCATCACTTATTCATGTAAAATTTATTTATTTTTTCATGTCTGACTTTAACCGCATCTTATACTGTATTACGGCGTAAGCGCAACAGCGACAACTTAAGATCGATGTGTGAGCAGCCTGAGAGGTCGGGTGTTTCATCTGAACCCTTAAAACCTCCAGCAGGCTACGCTGCACTATTGACATGTTAGAGCACAGCGCTAACAACTTAGCGATGTGACATGTCTCGGAGAAAGCGTAAAAACACGTTGGACACTTCTTCTGAAGCAGGAAAATAACACCTCTTCTTAAGCAGAGCACGAAGTCGCCTCGGCTCGTTCACGGCCGAGCTGCACTGAGCTCGATAACATTGACCCAGCATAGCCACTGGGTCGTTGGAGCTGCCCCGTGACTGCCTGATGGAAAACCAACGGGTTTTATCAGACTCGTAAATATCTTGTTTTTGCTGGGGACCCCCTGTATTTTACCGCTCCCTCTTGCAGTCTTCCCCTATTAACATTTAAAATGATTCTGTAAATTCCGTGTAACAATAGAAAAAACCTCTGCCTCTGCCAGCTGCAGTAAATGTAGTCTCCAAATAATAAATAAGAGGTGTGTTCATCTGTGTATCTCCTTTGATCCGCATTAGTGATATTTTCAGCACCAGAACAGTGAAGCAAAGAAACAGATTCTTGAGTTTGTTAGTGATTTTATTTATTAGATGCATCTAACCTGTTCTATTTTTCTCTGAAATGAGATCAAATCAGTGCTTCTATGGGTTGTCTCCTCTCTGCACTAGAAAATTTTACTTTATTTAGAAACGTGTCATAATTTCTCCCCAAGCCTCCCCCCAATTACTGTGATTGTAATTAATCTGTAAAGTGAGAAAAATCATTTATAAAACAGAATATGATTCTTATGGTATAAAAGTCCCAACTCCTTCTGTGAGTCTAGTGACTTGCGGGACATATAAGAGGTAGTTTATGGTGGTTTCCCCAGATGGCCAAGGCTAAAGATGGTTATGAACAGAGCATTTGTTTTGGTTAATAGAAGCACACAACTTCTCGGGCAAAGTGAAGATGGCTGTGGACAGTGTCATGACCTTTGGCATTCCATGGCCTTTCCAACACTACACTCATCCTCTACAAAGCTCTCAACAACCTTGCCCCATCTTTTCTGTCTGACATTATGACATTGTCCCCCTAGCCTCCATCTCAGATCCTCTGCCTCCAATCTGCTCTCTCAGGTAACAACATCAAAGCACCGCACCATCGCAAACTGAGCTTTTCCCTTGGCTGCCACCACCCCATGGAACTCTCTCCCTCAACACATCCATGCTGCTGACTCGTTGTAAAAATTCCAAAAAGTACTAAAGACTCACCTGTTCAGCCAAGCACTCAAATCACATTAACCTGTTCTCTGTTTTCGTTCATTTGTCTTGTCCATTTGTTTATCTCCTCCTTTGTACAGCGTCTTTGAGTCATTGTTAAAAGTACTTTAGAAAACCTATGCGGTATTATTATTTATAATAATAATAATAATAATAAAAAAAGATCAACAGGAAGTAACTGTTTAAATCTTTTTAAACTTTTAAGAATAATACCTTCAAATAGGACATGTTTATCAGTGAAAAAACAGAAACAAGTACAAACAGGTGATTTTACAAATGTTGCAAACATAAAACCTCATTGTGAAGAAGAGGAAGAATGTTTTTTTTCAGTTTTTTCATCTAGATGATATTTTAAAGATCATCTGTGATCATTTAGAGTTGATAAATTATGTTTTTTTAATCGAATCTTGAAAATAACAAAATGTACAACAGCATACAGTGTTATAAGACCTTGTGTTTGGAAACCACTATGAGTGTGTATGACCACAGTAAATTTGATGTCCATATCTGTAAAATTGATTGGCTCAGGTGAATGAGCTGTGGACACCATCCTATATAAGGTTGACTCCAAAACCTAACAGCTTACAGAAGTTTACCCAATGAATATTTTCTAAAAGTTTAATTAAAATCCTTCAAGTGGTTCATGAGATATTTCACTAACAGACCAGAATGAGTAGTAAGTATTTATAAAAGCACAGTAAATTTAGTCTGCAACACGTTCCTGTTCCTTTTGTATACTGCCTTTGTTGTTGGTGTGGCTCCACGTTGTTGGATTGCAGCAGAACTCTCAATCTTTTAAGGAAAATTTCGGGAAGTCCACTTACCAGTGCATTCATCTCACTGACATCCTTTATCTCTGGCAGGTTTTTGACCCTCGACCCCTCAGCTCCTCCCCCTTCCAGCCTGTTTCCATCCCCTCGGCGAGCTACAGCAGAAGAGGAAGTGCTGCCCTCAAACTGGAGAAACAAATGATCGTGTGAAGAGTTACAATTGCGTAAAACAAGATTTCTAATAGAATAATCATAGAAACCCGACTAATTGGACAGGAGCTAACAGAACTGGGTGGGCTAAGCTTTTCTATGCGTGTGCCCTAATTTGAAATTAAATGGAAAAAAGATGCAGCTGAGACAAGCTGCATGACAGCACACAGGTGTGTGGGAGACAGCCGGCAATCACTGTTTAAAACCACCAGCGATCATTTTAGCATGGACACAATTGTGTCTCGTAATCGAGGCCAGGCGTGGATGGGATGCTGTCCAGCTGGTGATGGGAGCCTCTGAAAGGGAGGGAGGGAGTGAATTATTAAGATGTGTAGGGGGAGAGGAAACACACAGACACATCTAGACAGACACATAAAATCTGTATAAATGTGACGGATATTCTTCTAAAAGAACACACACAAACCAGCATCCATCCCAGTGCTGCAAAGGAGCCTGGGAAGGCGGCCGGCAGTCTGATTACGGCCCTGACCTCTGAACCGGCAGACATCCTCTCTTCAGAGGGGGTCAGACCCACCGGAGTTGGAGACTGACCCCAACGGACTGCAACCCGCATGCATAGGTGGACAAAGTGTTCTGTTTGGGTCCAGAACTCAGGCTGTGATTCTCAAGTTCTCCCATGGTGTTGTGTTAAGAGGTAAAGAAAACAAGTAGGGGGATCGCAGCGTGATTTGTGAAAGCTGAGATTTATGTCAAGACCTGACCAGGCCGTTTTGGGGTAGAGGTGAGAAGAGGAGGTGATCAGAGGGAGGACGAAGAGCAGAGTGTCTGATGGAGGTGACAGCGCAGAAATGGTAACAATGTCCTTTTAAAGACTTGCCATAAAATCGCTCACAAAAAGCATAAAAAGTTAGTACAGGAAATAAACATAAAAAGGATTTGCTCCGATGAAAAACAGCCAAAGAATATAAAGTCTGTGATGCAGTTCGTCAGTATGTTTGCTCTCAGTCTCTGATGTGCATGAGGCTTGTTAGGATTGTGTGTGTGTGCGTGTGCGTGTGCGTGTGTGTGTGTGTGTGTGTGTGTGTGTGTGTGTGTGTGTGTGTGTGTGTGTGTGTGTGAGAATGCATCTAAAACCAGGAACAGACCTGAGATTACTAGACATCTTCTTGGCATGTTTTGTGTCTTCGTGTTGTACCTGGAGGCTCTCAGCCAGCTGCTGGTAGAACTCCTTTACATCCAAGGCCGGAGTGATGTCAGGACTGCCAAATGTAATCACTGCTGCTCTCAGAGTCCTTTCATCTGGATTAAGTAGACTTTCCACTTCCTGCACACGTAACATACAGAAGTACACAACCATAAAGAGATTGTGATCTGTAACACACAAAACGTGTTCAAAATCACACTGAGATGAAATCCTGTGTTAAAGTGAGCTCTGCCATGTATTTTATTGATGCAAAATGCGAAAGGGTCTTCCAGCGCAGAGACTCAACGTTTTAGCTGGATAATGGCAGGACTGTCAGCTAGTCAGCAGAAAACTGGCTGATAACAGCAGCTGATAAAACAAAGAGAATTTCTGTTTTCATTTGGTATTTAGCCACTTTTCCCACACTGTGAGTTATCGAGTGTGTTCCAGGGGGAGCGGGTTAAACGCCGGGCAGCTCTGCAGAGAAGTACGTGATGGAGCTGCTCCTGCTTCGGCCTCTCTCTCTCTCTCTCTCTCTCTCTCTCTCTCTCTCTCTCTCTCTCTCTCTCTCTCGCTCTCTCTCTCGCTCTCTCTCTCTCGTGCATGGGTGCATGTGTGCGTGTGTGCGTGTGTGTGTGTGTGTGTGTGTGTGTGTGTGTGTGTGTGTGTGTGTGTGTGTGTGTGTGTGTGTGTGTGATCAGCAGCTCTCTCTCTCTACCCTTTACCTTATCTCACACAAATATTATCTGTCTATAAAATTGTAGAAGTTCATCTCTGTTAAATAACGTTGATGCTCCAGGTGCAACACACCAAGCAAAGGCTTCTATATGATGCTTCATAACCTTTCTCATGCTAAAATGGTCTCCATTGCTAAAGATGGCTGTAATTATAGAGCTAGTAGTGATTTGGGGAACTAATGAACTCTGAAGCCATATTAGATAGATTTACTCTTCTTTCAAGTTTGCAAGGCCATGATGGGCAGTTTTAATTAACATTTGACTCAGCTTGTTCCCCTCCGCGACTCCTCAAAGGACTTTCAGGGTTTTTTTTAAGGATCAATAGTGATTTTCATTAAAAAGGCCATTCTGTTAGGTTTCAGAGTACATAAATGACAACTTTCAAAGTTTTTATTGTATTTGTATGATCATCCACAGCCGCAAAGTGACATTTCAGAGTTTAATAACAAAGTTTGTTCACTTGCTTCAGGTTTTAGTTATTTGACTACTTTTGCATATCGTTTAGCGTCCTTTAGCTTCTCTGCTCTGACTGGTTAAAAGATTAGTCCCAAACTTTAAAGCAAGGCAGCTGCTTTTTTTAATTCAAGGTGTGCCAGATGAACTTCGAGGCAGGAAGAAGCCCATGTGTTTCACAGCGATACACTCCACCGGAGGAAAAACTGGACTCATAACGAGCTGTAATGAGCTCAGGTTCAGGAGCAGTCAGCTCTGTGGGAGAGAAAAACACCCTTTGGTGTGTATTTAAGGGTTTGTAACTTTGCAAATCATTAATATGTAGAAAAATAAGGAATTCTATATGCTCAAATTTGTTTTGGCTTATTAGAAACGTTGGCTCTCTATACTTTATTTCCTTTTGCATTTAATTTATAATTCATGATTAAAGAAGCAAAGCGGCAGCAAACGTGTTGCTCAAGATAAACAGTTATGCTTTATATCAGTTCTTTCATTCGTTTTTTTAAAGGTTTAAAGGAAAACTAGTGAGTTTAGCGTAAAAGAGGTCTTCTCAAGTCTAACTATGTTTATTTTTTCAATTTTTGTGTAAAAAAATAAAAAATACTACAAATAAAGTGTTACTACATGCAGAGTGTTCCAATAAGACAGTGAAACTGTTTGTGTTATCACATATTTGTGGGTGGTATGTGAAGTACTGAGATTTAGTCTTGAGCCACATAAAAAAATCAAGAAATCAGAGTCTAACCTTTTAAAGGGGTTTGTCACCAAAAGTTCTCCAGATTATCGGAAGACAAGCCATTAATCTTTAGATTTTGGAAGCGTTTAAATATATTTTCAGTAAAATTATTTAGAAATCCCACAAAACAAAGTAAACTATTCAATGTATTATCTATTTTGGAGATAACTAGATGATGAGAACAGAAAAACATGGTTAATGTTTGACTTTTGGACAATATTAAACATATTTTAAGCCTTTAACAGTATTTGTCACATTTGAACAAGGACGGGTTTGCTGTTTATGTAAATTTATTCAACTTCTGAAAACTTAAAGGTTCATGGAGTAAGAATGACATCCTGTGGTCAAATGTGGGTACTGCAGCCCGTGTATTAAAACAAATGGGTCCGCTCTGAACAACTGTCGCCAGTTATGGATCAGCACCAGAAGATTCTAGATGAGGGATGAAGACGACTCATACACAGTAAGTTGATAATTAGATGAATACATTTCACTGGAATATCGATTTGTTAGTAATTGAAAAAGAGTAGGTTGAGATCTTTTTAGAGTCGATGTTTTTTCTAACTCACCGTTATCATTGCTAGCTCAACATTAGCCTCTAGCCTTTTTGCCCGATATTAGAGTAAAAAAACTGATGCTGTGGCTTCTCAGGGGTACAAGAAATAATCACTAGTTATTATTGGTTTCCATTCACTCCACAGCCACTGTTGATGGCGCAGACTTGGCAACCCCACGGACTAAAGTATGATTGGCTCTGGAACCAGGAGGAAGCTGGACAGATTGTAAACAAAGAACACATCCCTCTTTTGTCTTTTTAAATGTTTCAATAAAAACTTCCTTCCAACATGATTGACGCATTAGACATTTATGTGATAATTTCACTCTAAATGTCTTACTGTACCTTTAATGCACTGAGATGAGTGGTATTTGGTCTAATCGGTTAGATAAAAAGCTATCAAAAAGGAGCCATAGTGTGTCTTTTTTTAATGCCCAATTTGTTCTGTTGACACAGCCATTCTGCTTTTGGCAGGATCTCCTCAGAAAGGTGACAGAGGTCACTGAGCTGTTTGCCACCAGAGATCTGGACATTTCTCCATCTCTCCCGTCTGACCTAAGTGCCACATTTTGAGACAATTTTTGAAGCTATAAACAGTTCCTACTTCACCAGAAAGCGGTTACACATCACTCACACCATCCTGTGCTTGGCCTCCATGTTGGCCAGCTGTTCCTCGTAGATGGACACTTGTTCCCTCAGTGCCAAACACTCTGCAGTCACAGCATTTACTTCCTGCAGAGACAATTGGGTTAACGGAGATGAATGCTGAAATGAAACAAGAGCTTGGAGTTCAATAAATGAAGACAGCCACACCAAACAGCTGTTTTTGGGCACCACCAGCACAAACACATTTACCCTATATCGATGCTGCATTGCAGAGAAAGGTTGGGGGGGGGGGGGGGGGGGGGGGGGGAGATAACAAGGAGACTAAAAAGCATTGTTGGCCAATCCATTTGCCAGCAGGGGTTCTCAGCTCACATGCTTCTTCTGAAAGAGCCAGATTAATCAGTGCTGGATGCAATTACTGTGGGTGCCTGCATTTTGCACACATGATGGGAGTGTTTGGTGGAGCATATGTGGATGGTAGTAACTCCATCGTGTTGCTCTGAGTTTAAATAACTGAAACTAACATTACAACCAGCTTCAGCTCAAAAGTAATTTATCCATTAGGCAAGTGGAACAAACTGCAAAAGCTACAGGAAAACACAATCGACTCATGTTCCACTCCATGAAACATATCCTCATTAAAGCTGACCTTCTGTGAAATAAAGTCAGTTCTTCACGTGGCTCTTTATTGTTTTTCTTCAGGCTCCTGTTTTAACTCTGCTTTAGGCTCATCAGCCTGATTTATCAGTCTGGTGAGTGTAGGACCTAAAAAGCTGTATGACCTGAAAATGTTTCACAGACTTTAGAGAAGCTGCAGATTCAAGCGGTATTTGGGGTTTTCTTTGCCAAATGTAAGAACCACACTTGTTCATTTGCTTTAAGATGTGGAACACTGAAAAAAAAAACATATTTTTAAATCTTATTTCTGATTGCATTTGATCAATCTGAGTTTTTCATGCAATCAGAACATAAAATAGTCTCCTACACCTATCTCCTGCATTAGCTTCTGATAGAAAATAGACGATGAAACTCTAGGATTTAAAAAGCCTGACAGATCTACGTCGCACTGTCACGTAACATTCAAGGACTCACACATCATGACGAGGAAGGTTGTTGTCGTTGTTTTAACCTCCAGGAAACAGCAGAAAATGTCTCAGCTAATACAAGCTAACCATTAGCAATAGCAACTCCACTACACAGCAGAACTCCTTCAGGCTTGTGTTTATTGTAGAGATAAAACTTCCACATTGCAAAGCAAACTGAGTCAGTAGAGTTGTGTTGCTGTTAGCCAATCCCAGGCAAGATGTTCAAATATAAGAAAATAAGACTCCAAAACTTGCTGTCTGAAGCTCAGCTGTGATGTGGCTCACCTGTAGTTCCCAGAACTAGTGCACCAGAGCTTTGTTTCTCCTGAGTACAACTTGCAAGGAATTCAATCCTACTAGAGACCACTGCAAACGTGTTGATTTAACACGTATTCAACACCTTTAAATCTTGTCTAATGGTCAGAATCAACACGGAAACCTTAATTCCCTGCTAAATTGACGCGTCGCTTCAGTCGTGTTGTTTTTTACTGTTTGTTTTATTGAAGCCACAGGAAACTACACAGAAAAGGAAGATGGGAATTTGAGAACCATGACATGCAGCAGGTGCAAATAAATAAATAAAAGTATCATTCAAAACAATCTAAGCAGGGCTTGTTTTACGATCTTGGGAGAACCACAGCTTGTTGTGGGTTGAAGTGTGTAGTGTTCACTTCTCTCCTCCACATCTCTACTCTTCATCTGCTTTCTTGCCAATTTCCCACCATGTCTTGTCACCCTGCAGCTGCTTCCAATTCAGAACCAAAAGACCGAGCCAGCAGGAACATTACAGCACCGTGTTATAAAACGGTGTTACATCTGTAAGGGAGAAATTAAAGCCTCCCCGCATCTGGTCTGGCTGTAAGGAGGATTATTTCCAGCACGAGGGATGGAGGGTGTATGGAAAAGTTGGTATTCAAGTTTCAGAGTCCGTGTGTCCTGCTGGTCAACCCTGGTTAACGCAACACAGAAGCATGTGTGACAACCGGGGGAGAAATCCTTAACAACACTGCCACTAAGTGGTCAGAGTACATAATCACAACAGGGCTACGACAATAAAACTCTTGGATGATCCATCTATCCATCCACTGTCTATACCCTCTTACCCACGCAGGTTAATGTGGGGCAATGGTGTCTCTCTCCAGCAATCTCTGGGCAAACAGGCGGGCTACACCCTGGACAGGTTGCCAGTCCATCACAGGACAACACAGAGACACACAGGTCAAACAACTGTGCACACACTCACAACTAAGGACAGTTTAGAGCAGGGGTCACCAACCTGGTGCCCAAAGGACCTTTTCTCCAAATAGCACATCTAAAAAATAGCAAGTCTAAAAAATATACTATACTCTTCTTTAAAACATTAAACATTTTTTATTATATAGGAAGTTTAGTTTAACTCAGATCTATTTTAGTTCAAAGGTCACTATTGTATCAGCCTGGTAGCCCTTTGTGTGGCTCAATACCCATGAAGTAGCTCTCAGCTTCACAAAGGTTGGTGACCGCTGATTTAGAAACCAATCAACGGTAATGTTTTTGGAGTGTGGGAGGAAGCCGGAGAGAACCTACCTACACCTGCACAGGTAGAACATGTAAACTCCTTGCAGAAAGACCCCAGGCCGGGATTCAAACCCAGGACCTTCTTGCTGCAAGGCAACAGCACTAACCACTGTGTCACTATGCAGCCCACCTGTTGGATGATCTAAATGATTTGATAACATTATTATTATTTTGTCTCATAAGTCAGTTACCAGTTGTAATTACCTTTATAGTTGTTGATTTATTTTTATTTTTATTTTATTTATTTATTTATTTATTTATTTTGTATTTCAAATCAAGATAGAAGAATATGCTGTGGCTTGGTAATAAGACCTCAGAAACATCTAAAGGTAAACACTGTGGAAACCAAGCTACCATCAATATTGGCTCACAATTTCGCCAAAGTCCGTTATTATCTAAGCATGTCCTGCAGACCTAAAGAGCAAAATTAAATATTTTGTCCAAAAAAATTATTCAACTTGATGAAATACTCTTCTTATTTTCAAGTTACAAAAAAAGAGCTATAAGAATTATAAACCAATCTAACTACACAGAACCAACTAATATTTTGTTTATTAATCTGAATACCCTGAAATTTTATGATTTAGTTGAATATAAAATGGCACAGATAATGAATAAAGCACAAAATAACTTGCTTTGCCGCAGTACTCAGAAGCTGTTCAAAGTCAGAGAGTCAATATGACTTAAGGGGAACTGAATTCTTTAACAAAAATAAGATATGGACAAACATAAAGCAGAGATGTGTTTCTGTTAGAGGAGTTAACTTGTGGAATATGACTTATATGATTTAAAAAGATATAGTTCATTTTCCTTGTTTAAAAATATGTTTAAAAAAAGAGTATTAGAAAAATACATAAATCAAGGCTGGCTGGCTGGATTAGCCTTGTTTCGTGTTTCTTGCTTTGTGGTAATCTTTATTCAATATTCATTGAGATATTTAAATGCTAATCAATAAAAAATCTATCATTAAAACTTTAGACTTCAAGCTCGTTTTTTAACCTTTGAAATTGCAGAAACCACTCATAGTTTACAAGGTGAACAGATTTGATTTTGGTATTGAATATGTTTTAAAGGTGCATTATGTAGAAAAGAAGTAAAAATGCCTTCCTGTGGTAAAATTTGGTTACTGCAACCACTGTATCAACTCTGGAGCGTTTTACCGGCCGTCATCAAATTAAAATTGTTGGCGCTGCAGTATTAGCTCCCAGGAGACACAGCACCCCCACAGTCACTGATGGTAAACAGTAGTTACGTCCCACCTTCCTTTGTTTTTAAAAGAGAAAAACTGACAATCCCCACAGCGAGATGGATGTGAAACATGTTTCAGTATAACCTTCCTTCCAAAATGACTGAAACATAACTCTTTTGACATTTACTCATTGTGCAATTCACACTGTATTCTTACATACTGCACCTTTAAATAATTAGAAAATGTGCTGTTCAATATGAAAACTGCAGATAAACATAATTTATGTCACATTTTTTAAAATAACTAATTTTGATTGTATTGTTTGACTGTTGTTGTTTTGTTAGTGTTGAGAGTTTCTTTGTAAGACACAAAAATACATTTTGATAAGATCTATTCAGCTATTCCACTTGGTAGTAAAAAAAAACATTAAGATGCATTAGTTTAAAAAACTATTACTTTAGATATTTAATTGTTTCTGGTGTAGTGAAACTTACATTTACTTTGTGGTCTGAGAAAAGTTTGCACCAACTACAGGATTAAATAATGTAATCAGACAGAAGGTTAAAACAGACTCTCATCAGCTCATCATTTACATTCCTACAACAAATATGGAGTTAAACAATGCTAATGACTGCAGACGGGAGCTCCACCAGACTGTATGAAGATGGTACAGCAGAGATTGGTTCAGAGGAAGCATGACCACAAAAATAAGTAAGGATTATAAACACTCCTAAAGTGCTGCTCTCTATGGAAGTGAACACAGAGGGTAGCAAAGTGATGTTGATTGTTTCCAGTCAGCTGCCAGATCATACGTTTGTAGTAACCACAAATAAAATGTTAAAGCTAAATGAGCAGCATACAGGTAGATCAAGGAGCGCACAGACAGAGATGATGAAGGGTTAAACATCAGACAACAACAGGAATAGATATGTTATTAGTCTGGTTTCAAACTAACGAAAATAGTCTTCAGTTATCACTGATAAAGGATTTAATTAGAACTTGAGCTCCTGTATCTTCACCACTCAGAGTGAATAAAGACGATTATGAAAGTGTGGGGATTGTGAGTTCAGCCTGTGAATAAAACTTAATTGTAATAAAACTATTAAATTTGCTTTTAAATGTGTCATTCAGATGGGACTGATTTGACATTTTTGCATTTTACAGAAGTGTTTCAATCAAATATCTGTCATATTCTAACAGAAACTTATGTGGACTAACAAATAATAATATTACTGCAATCAAAGGCTTCTGTAGGAATCTACCAACTTTTGATGCAACTTAAATCAGTATTCTATACTTGAATTAGGGAGATATTTATAGGATTTTTAATTCTGTCTTTGCACAAGTTTCAGTTCAGTTTTTTGAGCATCAGTTAAACTTCCATAAGCAAGATAAATTTCAACCACATCACAGCTGACAGATGCTACCTCGGAAACACCTCGCTGTTCCTGCTGAATGAGGATCCTCTGATGTGCAACCTTCTCATACTCTTGGCAAACACGCTCAAGCTCTTCTGTTAGTTCTTCTGTTTCACCAAGAATCTCATCCTGCAGACAGACACAGATGGATCTAAACAAGCTGAAGATAAGAGGATGGACCATCACAAGCACACCCAGCAGCTCTCTACCTTCTGCCTGCGTAGTTTTTCCACCACTGCATCCAAACTGTAATCAGGGACAGCTGACACCTTGCCGGAAGTCTGTTTATTATTCATCACCTCGTCCAGTTCAGCGATCTCACTTTCCAGAGCCTTGTTCTCCTCCTCAAAACAATGAGCCTGCAGATGTAGATGTAACAGAGCATGACACAGCAGAAGGACTGATTTGTTTGGTAGCTCTGGTGGTTTTTCCTCACCAGTTCAATTAGTTGAACCAGACGGTCGTTGAGGGAAGCGAGGGATGAGCGTTCCTGGACAAACCGACTCAGACCCTCTTTGTTCAGAGCTTTGGAAGCTTCAAAGTCTACATTTATACAGTCGCGCTTGTGAACAGCTGCATCTCTGGAAAAAAAAAGATTTACATGATCATAAACTGGGCTTAAGTTAAAACAATGTTTAAAGGGTCTTTTTAATTTTCTGGTGCATTTCTGGTCCTGACACCTTTCCATTTGAGCAAGAGGTGCCAATATTTTACAATCAATCCTCCCTCAGGTGTTTGCACTTCATTTATTCTTCCTGTTGATTACTGGAAAGTTAAAATGAGGGTTTAGTTGTTTAGATTTTTCTCTACTACCTCTATAAAAACTCCAAACATAAAAAACTCATTTTTTTCCTTTCAGTGTCTGGTTTATGAAATGATGTGCCTAAAATGAGCCATTTCAAAAAGTCCCCGTTTGTGATGTCACAAACGAAGAAATTATAATAGAAGCACCTCTCATGTGAAAGAGAGCAGCTGCTGCTTGAGGAGCAGCAGCTCTACTTTAAGCCCCCTCCTAATGTTGGAGCTTCTTAGCTTTTAACAACCTGAGTAGGGGATGGGTGGGTGTGGCCAACTCCAGCGTCTTTTCTTAAAGTGACAGAGCCCTAAAACGGCTCATTCTGAAAGGTCCTGAAAATGTTAAAAATAAAACAGCTGAAATCAGTTGATGCAAGAGAAATTAAAAGCAAAGAATTACTGAAACATATTTCAACCATAGAGCTTTTATATCTTAAGAAAATAGTCGTAATATGTCCCCTTTAAGATTTTGTTCAAAAAATTAATTATTTCTGCTGTGGATACCTGTTTAATTCTAGGAGAAAATCTAAAATTGTGTTTTATGCAATTAACTTGCTGACAAATGTAAAAATATCTGTTTAAAACCAGTTTAACTATTCAAAAGCAAGAACACAAGTACTAATAAAACTAATTCGAACACATTTGATCTAATATCTAATGCAAGATTTGATTTCCAAGATAAGATTTGAGCCAATCTTGGAAAAATACGTGTGACCTGCACTGACCTGGCAGAGGCCCGGTACCGTCCTGCACACCGTGAACTCAAACCCACGTCTCTACTCCAGCTTTCATCCTCAAACAGCTTGCGGTAAGAAGACACCCTGAGCATTGCCATAATGTCTGATAGATTCAGGATAAAACACAACAGAAAAATGACGACAGCAGCTGTGTGGCAGGTTTTATAATCACGGGGAATGAGAATGTAGCAGAGAGGTGAAGCAGACCAACTATAGAACCATCATCAGCCAGGAGGGATTTCACTTGTTCCTGAGAAGTAAACTGTTAAATCCACAAGACCGTTGTTATGAAGACTTTCCAAAGGAAGTAAAGATAAAGACACACACCATGGCTCTGTACATTATTTTATTTCTTTAAATAAATTAAGAGTTCCAAAAATCTGCTAAGTGGAAAACATTTGTTTCACTGTCCTTCCAAACAGAAGTCCACACCAGGGTACAGCTGTGTGAACTAACACCTAAAATCAGAAGCTGTTGATTATATTTATGTTTCGTTTGCATCTATGAAGACAAAGTAAACAGATTTGCTGCAAAATGGTTTCTCCCAAATGTTTAATCATCAACAACACATACAAACTCACAGGCTCCAGCCATCTTTGGCAAATCTCAGCTTAAATACATCCAACAGAGGATTTTAGTGTGTTGACTTCAGGTAGACAAACGAAAATCCAAATAAGAAAATTAATTAAGGTCCTAGGAGGATTTTAACAACTTGCTATAATCCTCAGCATTTTCATTTTCCATATTGTGGTGGCTTCATAAAATGAAATGCTTCTGGATTTCTAAACCATCAGCAAAAGAATCCTTCAGCTATTAATACGGTTAAATGAAGCAGGCAGGACAAATTGTGAAAACTAACTGCTGCATCTGTTGAGTCAAACGTTTAAAGAGGAAATATCCTGTAAACACAGCAGAAAGAGTTCCTTATTTCTATAACTGCGTGTGTTACATAACAGTAGCTACAGAAAACTTTAGAATCTGTGGTGCAGGTCAGAAAGAAGAGCAGACATGAGAAGAGCAATGATCCATGACATTGTGTTTAGTCTCCTCCTCAAAAATCCTGCAGCACTTAAGAGCTTTACACAGCACCAGGGCTGCACACAGGTGCAAGAAAAACACAGACAGATGAGTTTTCAGGTGTAGCGGATGTGAGGAAGAACACATGTAAACAAACAAACAGTACCGCCATCACAACAGACACCATCACAGGGTCAAACCACCACACAGTCACGAAACGTTGACTATTTACATAGTTTAAGACATGAAAAAATTAAAAACAACAAGAGGGTGGACCGCTTCTGATTCCGGTTAACCAGGGAATCAGTGTGTTAACTGACTTCTGCCATTACTCAAGAGGGTTTGACAAAACACTGAAAACATTTGCAGACACTTTTCTTTAAGTGGGTGGTAAAACTGATGTGGTTTTTAACTAATGTGGGTACAAAAACTCACCTAACGACAGCAAAAACAAAAAAAATAAGAAAAGGAAAAAAAAAACTGCTAAAATGGTGCAAACTTTGAAAAACACTTAAATAGCTGTTTAAAAAGTACAGATTCGTGAACTTAAAGTATCTTACTGTTGCAGCAACAAATGATTGTCATGATTTATCTAAAGCATAGAGATTCTCAGTGACAGAATGCTCTAAAACCACTTGAGGGTTTGAAACACGTACTTGCTCATACATTATTCTAACTAACTACAGCTTAAGGACATACTATTCCTGTCTTTAGAGTAAGTAAATATTTTGTTTAGCCTTTATGGGAAAGCTCCAAGAACTGAAATGTTGAATTTACTTAAGCAAGTTGTGTCAACACTAAACCTAATGTACATTACTCTACATTTTAGCGACGAGGTTTATTGGAACTAGCTGACATTACTTGGTTAAGTTAATGTCATTTATTACAGTGTACATAGTGTTATTGCATTCACAACTCTCACTACTGAGATTTTGGCATGAGCACCTAGAAGAGCTGAGAGCAAGGACCGGTCGGGGGGGTTACACATCCTTTATGTCATTAGAAAGTGCACAGGCCTCAGTTCAGACATCTTCTCCCAACAGTTTCCACATCCAGCATCGGGTCACCCCATGTACCAACTGAAGATATGACACAGTTTCAAATGAAAGTCTTCGGTACCTCAGATATCAGATGATCAAACGGAGGGTGCACTGGTCTCCAACAGATGACACAAAAATAAGTCTGAAACACTTAGTGCAACACAGGTCCGGGTCGACTGCCATGCTGAGAATCCGCTCCAGCCCTATCGGCACCACGGGGAATCCTCAGCCTTGGTTATTCCTCATCTCTCGCCATGAGGAAACCCAGAATGAAGTCGATGGCTTTTTGTCGATCATGTGACGTCTGCCTGCTCATCAGGTTAGGAGGTGGTCGAATGAGGAGACTGGCAAAGAGGGTAGCTGAAACGCAGGAATAAATATTATAGAATAGTTTTGTTTAATTCTGTAATGTAATAAATGAAAGTAATCGATTCTCATATTGATATGGTCATTTTAATAATAATAACCAGACTTTCTTTAATATACTTATTGCTTTAACGAACCTTTGATCTACTCTGCAGTGTGGTAGACAAATGAGACAAAAATGTCCAGTACTCACCAACAAGACTAGCCGTTAGATTGTTATTGGTGGAGTGTTTGAGGAGTTCTCTCAGAAATGCCATCAGGTAGCGAAACACGTTGCGGTGAGCTCGAGGCAACTGGGAGATTAACTAAACATCAAAGCAGAAACATAAAACACCACTAAATTATTACAAATAGATCTCATCTAACTTTCACAGTACATGTTTGTGAAATGACTCCACCTGTTTGCAGAGGCGGCTGTCATGAGAACAGTCCAGGCACCGTTGGTAGAGTTCGTAACACAACACGGGCTCCGGCAGCGCCTCCAGGAAGATCAGCAGAGCCTCGGCTACAGAGTGGTTACAGCCGGCTACAGGAACAGTCAGGGAAGAGCCAGTTTTCATGGATTCCAGTGAGTCCACAACCACAAAACACAAATGTCATGTACTGTAATGTAGCATGAGTCATTTGGGTGTTGTGATTAGTGCTTAGATGTAACCTCTGGAGAATCTTGCATCACTTAAGATTAAACCCCAAGCTGGGCTTTCTTTATTATAAATTATGCTACCTGTTTTATTTTAATATCGGTTTGTGGTTTTTTATTTGGTTCAGCTCCTTGAGATTTTCAACAAAAATTAAATAAAGGACAAAATGCAATCATGTCTCTGGACTGGCTGAACAGTGGAGGATACGTAGGGAGTCTGGGATGCTGGTGTCAAGACAGTCAATGATGCTCTGCAGCTCCTCCTGTAAGCCTGGTGTCTGAAACAGGTCCTCCTGGAAACCAACAGGGAACATTTACACTAAATGTATTCTCACTCCAGTTGGCATCATCCACACATTCATTTCAGTCAAATTACATCACTATCTGGATTTCAATGCACAAAAATGTACCTCAGCCAAACCCTGGCTTTCCACTCAATGCTTAAGCACCGTGTAGTGTAACAGGCGCGTTTTTTGCATTTTTTTATTTAAAAAAAATTTGAACATTTATTATGAAGACACTGGGTTTATGTTTACATCTACCAGCCATTAGAGGGCACTACTGCAGGTTGCCAAACAGTCTGCTCGGCACAGAGAGGCTAACATTGTGGAAAATGGTGGACTCACCAAGTCAAACAAATGCTTCTGAGCCAAGAAGATTGTTGTCCTTCACAAAAGATCTAAAGCCCCTTTCGCACTAGCATCAGCTCCACGTGGTCTGAATAGCATAGAGTGTTCGCATTAGCATAGCCTGCTTTTTTTCAGGGTGCAACCAGACTGTTTTTCAGCCCTCTTCCTGAGGTGGTCTGCTTCAGGATGATCAGGGCCAGCACACCCACTGCTAACTGATAAGCCGGCTCAAATTCACACCTTCCATTAGGAGAAGTGTCCGATTGGTGGGTAGAATCAGCCCACCTGGGCTTTGGGCATTATCATGCTGATTACCTAGGAGCTGAGAACTTCTCTGACTGCACTCCTTGCATTCTTAAGCAAGGATGTGTGGAATCAACTGGGCCAAGCTGGGCTGGGGCTGACTGGGGCTATTCGGGCGTTGTGGAGCCGATGTTAGTGTGAAAGAGGCATAAACCAGAGTGAGTTTAGGTGAAGCCTCCAATAAATAGACCCAAATACAACATTTCATGTATCAGCAAAGAAACTGGTATCCAGACGGCTGGAAATCTTGTTCTACTGCTGCAACTAAAATCTCCACACACTAGATGTCACATTGGTGTTTGTGTTCCATATTCCACCTTTAACTTCCTGTCTGGCCCAACCTAAACTGTTGAGCTTGACACGTTCCGGAAGCGCAGTGCATAAAAACTAGACCCAAAAGGTAAATTTTGCTGAGTGATGCTACACTTCTGGGATCCATCCACAAGTTGGAAACATACCCATATCTATAACAGCGGCTATTAGCTGCTTTTCAGATATTACACAACAAATATAAAGGAAAGGTCAGTCACAGTTCAGATTATTCATTCAGAAATCCTCATTTAAAAAAGGTTCATTCTGTGTGACAAATCTGTATAATCTAAATAAATGTTATCTTTGCTTTGTGTTATAGCCACATAGTGAAATATATGCACATTCAAACTTGTGATGCTTTGTTTCATCTGAAGAATGTGTTTTTTATAGAATGAACACAAAACCTTTGATTTAGTTTATTCTAATACCACATTATTACCACAAGTTCTGTGTCATGTATGAATTGCTGACATTTAAGTTAAGTACATACATTTTATTTATATACAAAAATAAATAGTAAATGCAAATAAAAATGTCACAAAAATAAAAGATAATTGAAGCTGAAAATGCCTTTATAAAACTATGGTTTTGTAAAAGCTGATTTAGCAATATGCTACATTCCTTTTTGGCTTTTTCAAATCGGTTTTAGTTTTCTCACCTGATCACAGGAGTTTTTGTAAAGGTGGTTAACCAGGACCCACACCTCCTTGGGGATCTTCAAAGGTATGTCGTCAGAACTTGCTCCATCAGCCATCAGAAAGGTCACCTTGGACTTTTCCTGATTAGCAGAAAATAATGTTTAACACAACTCTATTATGATCAAAATAATTATATAATGTTGCAGCATTGTGATTATACAACAAGATTCATGCAGTTTGACAAAAGTGTAAAAATAAACAATAAAAGGGGATCATGCGAACACTTATTGATGGAACAACAGCGAGGTCAAGTTAATCTCCGAGAGGGCTTGAATGTGAGCTGGGTATCAGGTTCCACTGGTTTCTGCAAATGAATCCTCGGCACTCAGGAGAGAGGTCCAAAAATAACTACAGCTACCCAAGCTGCTCATGAACACATGGAAAAATGGAGGGCACCATGAGGGCAATTATGTGGAGAATGGTATCACCAAAACAAGAATATGGAATACTTTACTCTATAAAATACACTGCTCAAAAAATAAGACATCCTTGATCTGAATGAATGAAATATTCTTATTAAATAATTTGTTCTTTACATAGTTGAATGTGCTGATGACAAAATCACACAAAAATATTGAATGGAAATCAAATTTATCAACCCATGGAGGTCTGGATTTGGAGAAACTACAGGCTGATCCAACTTTGATGTAATGTCCTTAAAACAAGTTTAAATGAGGCTCAGTAGTGTGTGTGTGGCCTCTATGTGCCTCTGTGACCACCTTACAATGCCTGGATCTACTCCTGGTGAGGTGGTGGATGGTCTCCTGAGGGATCTCCTCTGAAACCTGCACTAAAGCATCCAGCGATTCCTGGACAGTCCGTGGTGCAACGTGGTGTTGGTGGATGGAGTGAGAGATGATGTCCCAGGTGCTTCTATTAGATTCAGGTCTGGGGAATGGGCGGGCCAGTCCATAGCATCAGTGCCTTCATCTTGCAGGAACTGCTGCACACTCCAGCCACATGAGGTCTAGCATGTCTTGCATTAGGAGGAACCCAGGGCCAACCATGCCAATGTTTCCTTATGGGAAGCAGAGGGCCTGGTAACACTCCCATTGCTGCTCTTTCCTCTGTTCTAAATGACAAGAACATGTCTTCAAAACCACAACAAGAAAAAGCGCTAAAGCCTTTCTTCTAAAAATGTTTGTGTTGTCGCCAGATGCCATCTTTGACTATAACAAAAAAGACTACAGCGTGATGCAGTCGTCATTTCCGCTTTTTTTCTGGTTATTTTTGAGCTGGCTAGTCCTGCCCCTCCTGGTGCTCTCTGCCTCTGAGTATCCAGACTTTGTCTATTCTACACAGAGGGCAAGTCTGGCAGCCCAGGCTAGCCCACCGCACCAGCATATGGTCTCACAAGGAGTCTGAGGGTCTCATCTTGGTACCTAATGATGGTCAGGCTACCTCTGGTGAGCACATGGAGGTCTGTGCAGCCCCCCCCCCCAAAGAAATGTCATCCCACAACATTACTGTCTCACTGCCAAACGGGTCATTCCACAAATAGATTCAGCTTCCTCATGGCCTCAGATGTGCCCCAACTATAGAAACTTAAGTCAAAATTGAAAACCTTCATGTTTTCATCAGTCTTTGAATAAATGCAGCACTTTCTGAACTGTATTTGCTCACCCTTTAACGTTGTTTCTTTTTCATTTTTAAACTGTATTTTCTGTCATGTTCATTTTAATGTTCTTGCTAATGGAAAGCACATTGAACTGCCTCTGTGTGTGAAATAAAGCTGCCTTACCAGCATTCAAAAGTGGCCATGCCATCAGCCAGAAAGCTGAGGAACTGAGAAGTGGTCTGTGTTCACCACCTGCAGAACCACTCCTTTATTTGGGATGTCTTGCTAATTGCTTATAATTTCCACCTATTGTCTTTTCCATTTGCACAACGGCAGGTGAAACTCAGTGTTGCTTCCTACGGGATAGTTTTATTCCACAGAAGTGTGATTGACTTGGAGTTACGATGTGTTGTTTAAGTGTTCCCTTTATTTTTTGAGCAGTGTATTTTCATAGAGAAAAATATATATAAAAAAAAGACTATGGTATATTCAACTCAAGCATATTTAAATTTTGTTTTCTTGATCAGTGACACATAGAGAAGTGAAAAAGGGGACTTTCCTCTTTGATTTCATTAAATAAAATATATGTATTTATCTTGGCACCTACATGAAAATAACGTATCCCTGTCAATATTTCCACATCCTGAAGTTCTGAAAACAATTCAGTCATGAGAAATCCCAATGGGTTGAGACTAGATAGTTTTGGCTAGCTTTTAGCACCCCCTACTGTCCATTTTTAGAACCAAAACCAAAAGCTATCTCGTTTGTCTTTTTAACGCGTTAATCCAGGGGTACTCAATATCCTGTGCAGCAGCTCCTCAGGATCTGCAGAAACCTGTTATTTGCCTGCTGATTGAAATCAGGTGTTGAAGCAGGGTTAAAGCTAAAACGTGCTGGAAACCAGCCCTCCAGGCCTGGACTTGAATAGCCCTGCTTTAATCTAACAGTTGAAATTTCTTCCCAGCCTTCCTTAGTGTCTACAGATGCAGTTGACCACTAGATTAAACAAGGCAGACACCTTGTCTATGTTTAAGACTAGGCTTAAAACATTTTTATTTGATAGGGCCTATGGTTAAAATCTGATGTTAGCCTAGATCTGGACAAGTGGGGGAGTAGAGGGAGGTGGAATGTAGTCGATAAAGACGGCTCTCCCTTGCCCTGCCTCCAACATGCCTCCATCTAAAAGGATAGGTTATCCAGAGTTATCTCTGTAGTTATGCTGCTATAGGCTTAGACTGCTGGAGGATGCACTGACCATTTTCCACACACTACTACTTTCTTCTACAATCTGCCCTTTAACTGTATTATTTCCTGCAATTTCAGCTGTTAACTTTATTTTCTCTCTAAGTGTTTTCCTCCCCAGAAGAAGCTACAATGATGTTCTGCTGAGCTGTGGTGGCCTCATGGAGGGGGCCTTCGTCTTGAACACTGCTGCTAACCACTTAAACATTCTCCCTCTCCTGATGATAACACTTTACTTCCCTTGACATTGAATGTGCTACTACTAGTTTACCCGTTTAATTATAGATCCACTAGGATAAATACAATAAAGTTTATCTCTCACCAAATAGAATATTTACTAAGAAATCACAATGTAACCATAGACACGACTTGATAAATGATAAATGACCCGCACTTGTATAGCGCCTCTCAGAGTAAGGACTCCAAAGCGCTTTACACTACAGTGCATCATTCATCCATTCACACACTGCACTGATGATGAGCTACGATGTGGTGATGTACTTGGTGTGTGTGTGTGTGTGTGTGTGTGTGTGTGTGTGTGTGTGTGTGTGTGTGTGTGTGTGTGTGTGTGTGTGTGTGTGTGTGTGTGTGTGTGTGTGTGCGTGCGTGTGCGTGCGTGTGCGTGTGTGCTCTGTCTTCTTGATCCCCAGTGAGTCGTGGAGGATGGCTGCTTATACTGAGCCAGGATGCTCTGGAGGTTTCTTCCTGTTAAAGGGAGTTTTCCTCTCCACTGTCGCTGCATGCTTGCTTAGTATGAGGATTGCTGTATAGTCACTGACACTTGTCAGTGACTCGACGCAATTTGCTGGGTTCCTTATATAGGAAACTTTTTTCTGATTGGCTTAATGAATTGACCTGTATTGGAATGTCGTGATTTGGCGCTATATAAATAAACTTGAATTGAAATCAGCTGTGTTCATGATCTAAAACATGCAGGAATCGTGCTGGAAACAGACTGCAGCCACAGGTACTGTATGTCAGCTCAATTTTAGCACATATTGGCTCAAGAGGAGTATTTAAAAATATGAAAAAGTTGCAATGTGTCTATCCCTTTAAAATCTTTCTAAACCCTTTGCACCTTAGACCTGCGTAGCTGCATTACTGGTTTTAATGAAACCGTCAGCAACAGGCTCTGTAACTGTGTTAGAGACATTTGACCCAAGAGAATTATTTCTGATAATATCAACCCTTACTGGTTTACCTTTTCCATGAAGGTGTCCTCTCCCTGAGCAAGACAACCCCCATGAAGAGTTGGAAAGGAATGATCAAGGAGAAAAGATGAAGGAAAACAAAAAAAAAAAAAAGAAGAAGAAAAACTATGTATTAGACAGAATAAGAAAAGTTAACTGATTATGCATCATTCTTGCATTAATCACTTGACATTTTCAGTCCAGGAAGGAAATTTCAACAGTTTAGCTGGTAATTAAAGGAAATGATGGCACCAGTAGGCTCCAAAACAAGATCATGAATAGAATCCCAGAAGCAGACAGAGGTGATCGTGTGAAGACAAAAGAAGTCTGTAAATGACACAGAGGGTCCAACCTGAGTCAGCCTTCCCTTTTCTTTAGATGCTCCATTCCTATGTTTGTGTCTTCCTTGTTTGTTTTGTTTTGGTCACTCATGGCCAGAAATATACAGTTTTGACCCTCTAAACACAGAATTTGTTTACGACTGGTTACACTGTAAAGAGAGCACTCATTAAATTCCAATTTTCCACTAAACTGAGGTAAATATGCTTCCTATTTCAAATATTTCACCTGTCTGTCAGTGTTTACTGATCATGTTTCTCTTTCTTACCAGATCACATAGTTTCTCGATGGGGATCTCTCTGATCGGCTTCTTCATGCGGCACAGAGTCTCCAGAGATGTGCCAAAGCAGCTGGGCAGGTAATTTCCAGAGATGGTGATAAAGTAATCTTTGCCACGGTCCAAATGAAGCACCAGAATATCGCATATGGTGTCTTCTCCACAGTTCAGCAGGGTGACAGAGTCTTTGCTGACGTACACCTCCAGATACATTTCCAGAGTCTCGTCTGTTCAATAGGACAAAATGTTCAGATGGGATAACTGAACATGACGTTCTAAGACAAATATGTTGACGTGTGCCTTGTGAAGGTTCAGTTGCTGTTAAACATTTTCATGTTTTCGTGAAACTTTATCAGAGCAATTCTGATAAGATAATAAAAACAATTTAATAACAGGACTACAAAATCTTACTTGGCTCTAAGAATCCATCACTGGGCTCGGCGCGCAGCCAGGGCTTACAATACTGGGAGTCACTGAGTTTGGGTATGAAGGCAAAGTGGCAGGGGACCTGACCATCATTTTTTATCAGGAAGCGCTCCTTCTGAAGCTGCCTGAATTTTACATCTGGAAATGTAAACTGTTGAAGTAAAAAGAAACTATGTAAATCTCAGCTTCTGAGCAAAATCACTTCACTTTTCTTAATGTAAAACAGGTTTCACACATATTCCAGATCACCTTACAAACATAAACAATGAGACTGTTGCTTTGATTACATTTATGTTGCTCAGAGACACGGATGGAAGGAAGTCGTTTTCCATCCTGTCCATTGCGCGAACAATCTCCTCAAACACCTTTTTGCGGCGTTGCTCATCTGCAACTTTCACCTGTAACAAAACAAACATTTATTAGTTTTTAGCTAAATGACATAGCTTGGACTGAAAGTCCCATCCTACGTTAAACAGCGCCTTGCAAAAGTGCACCATATTCTAATTTTTTAAGTTTCACTGGTATAATGAGACTAAATTACACACAGGTGAACCCGATTATTTATTCAGATGACTTCTGAAGGCAACTGATGACACTGAATTTTATTTAAGGGTATCAGTGGGGCTAAGCAGAAGAGCACTTTGCACTTTACAGATTGTTTTTGATTAAAATTTTGAGAAACCATGCATCAATTTCATTCCACTTCTCAATTGTTCCAAAAGGAAGACAGCTGGATTTTGAGACCAGTCTAACACAATAAGACCCAATGACGTGTGGGCGACGGTGGCACAGGAGTTAAGCGCTCGCCCCGTGATCGAAAGGTTGCAGATTTGAGCGCCGCTCAGTTTGTCTCCATCGTTGTGTCCTTGGGCAAGACACTTAAACCACGTTGCATGCTGGTGGTGGTCGGAGGGAGTGCTGGCGCCAGAGCTCGGCAGCCTCACCTGACAGTGCACCCCAGGGCAGCTGTGGCTACATTGTGGCTCATCCCCACCAGCATGTGAATGTGTGTGTAAATGGGTGAATGACTGTGCTGTAAAGTGCCTTGGGGGGTTCCAGGACTCTAGAAGGCGCTATATAAAATACAGGCCATTTACCATTTGACAACATCGACAACTTCTCAGGGTGTAGGGAGGAGGGGAAATCGTAGGTAGTTCCAGATCACTAAGCAACAACAGACAACTATACTTTATAAGCTTGACCATCCCATATTCAAGTCAGAACTGACGAAGCTCCCTGAATGAATGGGAAGCAAAATGTCTTCTGTCTTCTTCATTTGAATCCCTTTGCATTATCATGATCTGGACGATGGAGAACCTTCTCCAACATATTTTGTGTTGGTCTATCACAGAAAATCTCAATAAAACATCTTAGTTTGTGTTGTAAGGTGTAAATAACAGATCAAGGGGTATGAATACTTTTGCAAGGCGCTGTATGTTATACATGTGTTTACATGGCTTTGTAATGTCCTACCCCTATCTTAAAGAGGGAGCTAACGGGCTTGTGGTCGCTTGTTTTCAGCTCCATGTGACTTCGGTATTTAAGCTGCTCAATACTGCTGCCCCTCCACAGGATTCTGTCACACCACGCCGGGACTCGGCACTTCCCGCTGCAGCAAACAGATAATAGTTAAAAGGAAGAGCAAGGGCCCGGTCACAACACAGCTGCTACTGCTGACCCTGCGTTGTGGCGATAAGGACTGAAAAAAAGACTTTGTTAAAATTCTACAAATGAAAAGAATAATAAAATTAATCCAATAAGGATATGTAGGCAGGATGAATCTCAAATTTAGTGACAGGAATTGAAATCAGACTGTAAGTTTATGTGATTGTTGATTTACAATATATATGAATAAAAAACTAAGAGGAAGCACAGCTTACCTTGAATCCCATCGATCCGTTTTAGGGTCATACTTGTACGTGGGAACGAAGGTAATGTCTCCCTCTATGAAGTCTGTGAAAGCTCTTTTGTGCTTCCTCTGATGGGTCAGCTACACATAAAAAGCACCAATAATACTTATCCATTATGCATAAAATAGCTAAAAAATAATACATTTTTCCTCTTTAATGTGTCAATTAAACTCCTCTCTCTCTTTTTCTCTCTCTAACTCCATTAAATTTATCAAAAATATATTTAAATTTAGAAACATGCAGGCACCCCCATCTGGTCTGCATCATTCAGCAGCAAACGCACACTTAGTCTTTATGTGTTTAGATGTGTTGTTCGAAGATGAAAGGTCTGTCCCTCAGCCGCTGGTTTTGTGGGGACAACAAATGTGATCTTGTACCTGGTCGTATTCCTGAAGTTTCTTCAAGGCATTTTCTTTAATAAGCTGTTTCACCTCCGATGCATCGCTCATGGAGAGACGATAGTTTAGATCCCCCAGCCAGATTACCACACTGCAAACAGGATGTAAACAGGGTTAGCTCATTTACTTCATGGTTATTTTAATATAGGCTCTGCAGACTGCTGGATAACCGACACAAAATCATCAAAGGGCAATAAATAAAAGAAAAACTCAAACTGGAGACGGAAACCTAAACATTGCGAGTAAAAATTAAACTCTGTGCGTTATTTACGAAGTGGTTTCAGTGCGACAGACTGAGAGACTCACTCGTGCTTGACAATATTTAGAGGGGGTTGTTCCAGAAGATGGAAAGTCATGCGAGCACATATATCTCTGTAGTCCTGATTACGGCGCTCGTAGTCTTCCACGTGCGCAGCAAGATGGGAGTTTACAAAGCAGAAGCTGGTGTTGTGGAACACAAACCTCACTGCCACGCCTCCTTTGTTCCCCTGAAACATCAGTTAAACAGGCTTTGGTTAGAACCGGAGAACATGGAGAACATGAGAAAATTCTATTAATTAAATAATTTAATTGTGGTGCTTTTTGTTTTAATTAATGCAATAAAAATAAAGATATACAAAATTGTTGTTTTTAAATGCTAATTTCAAACTAGGATCGAGTCCATAATCGGCGTGACGAACCATTTTTCCCATAATTCCTGTTCCCACATGCTCTGCAGCCACGTCTCTTATGTGTTTCCTGTGCATCTTCTTTGCATAAACCACGAGCATCATCCCAACAAGTCGTATAGTCCGAATCTAGAAAAATCATTTAAAAAATAGACTTATTGAGAAATGAAGACCAGATCATTTGCAAGTATACTTTACAATGTTTGTTTGAGTTTTTTCCATTTTATTGCAAACATATTTTTTTTACATTTTTAACTGAACTGACCAAAATCACCCCTGCCTTTGTCTACTCACCCTTCTGTACGTGGTTTTTGGGTGCAAGGTCCTCTCCACTGCGTCTATCCACAGATGCTCTTTTGACGAGTCCAAGTAGAAAAATGCCTCTGTGCTCAGGTCCAGTTCTTGAAAACTGAAGCCCAAAAATAAATCAAACAAAAATCACATAAATTCACATTAACCATCAACACCTTTTAAAATTTCAATACAAAAAAGTCCTTCACTCATACTGACCCAATTGCATAAACATCGGGAGGGTCGGGGTCGCAGCAGAGCCAAGGATGAAGGCTGCTGTCTGGAGATTGGCCGTTAACGTTCCACGTCCCTACAAAAAAACTATAAAGCAACATGTGGCTCTTGATCAAAAGAGACACTAGCACAACTTAAGGACATGTTAGTTTTAAAATCTGAACAAAGCATCGAGGTAACAGTTAAACTGATACTGGCTTCACTGATTTTAAATGAAAATAAACATAAAAACTGTAGTTTTAATAACACCAAAACAGAAACCCACAGAAACACCATTTCATTAATGCGCTTATAAAGCATATTAAAGCTCTTCTACCTGAAGTGTTTTATGTCCACATATTCCTTCTCCTTCTTCCCCAAACAATGTTTAATAAGGAATTCTCTTTGTCCCGATGGACTGGAGGGCATGGTTTTAGTTGTGGGACTTTCACACAAAGACGCAGGCTTGTCCACACCATCATACCCTGACCTGAAACTACTGGAATAGAAAGAGTGTGAAATGGTAAAAACAGCAGTAATGTTTCAGACAGCTTACATACTCTGTAAAGCCTAGAACCTGCTGAACCGTCATTTGACAATGCAAAATGATTTTGTTTTGCATGTTGGTCTAGCAATGCTCCATTGAAACCTCGGCAGCCCCGGCCAGGCTGGTGGCCAGCCAATCACAGCGCATTTATTTAGAAAAACTATGTAATGTTTGATATTTTTTATGTCTTCTTCCACGATGCAATGTTGGACTTCTCCGTTAACTGATGTCTGTAGTAGGGATGTCACTGTAACCGGTGTAGCAGTAAACCCTGGTAAAACAAACAAACACACACACACACACACACACACACACACACACACACACACACACACACACACACACACACACACATACCGTACATACATACATACATACAGGGAGTGCAGAATTATTAGGCAAGTTGTATTTTTGAGGAATAATTTTATTATTGAACAACAACCATGTTCTCAATGAACCCAAACAACTCATTAATATCAAAGCTGAATGTTTTTGGAAGTAGTTTTAAGTTTTAGCTATTTTAGGGGGATATCTGTGTGTGCAGGTGACTATTACTGTGCATAATTATTAGGCAACTTAACAAAAAACAAATATATACCCATTTCAATTATTTATTTTTACCAGTGAAACCAATATAACATCTCCACATTCACAAATATACATTTCTGACATTCAAAAACAATACAAAAACAAATCAGCGACCAATATTAATTAATCAATTTCCCTCTGGGATTAATAAAGTATTTTTGAATTGAATTGAATTGAATATAGCCACCTTACTTTACAAGGACACTCAAAAGCCTGCCATCCATGGATTCTGTCAGTGTTTTGATCTGTTCACCATCAACATTGCGTGCAGCAGCAACCACAGCCTCCCAGACATGGTTCAGAGAGGTGTACCGTTTTCCCTCCTTGTAAATCTCACATTTGATGATGGACCACAGGTTCTCAATGGGGTTCAGATCAGGTGAACAAGGAGGCCATGTCATTAGTTTTTCTTCTTTTATACCCTTTCTTGCCAGCCACGCTGTGGAGTACTTGGACGCGTGTGATGGAGCATTGTCCTGCATGAAAATCATGTTTTTCTTGAAGGATGCAGACTTCTTCCTGTACCACTGCTTGAAGAAGGTGTCTTCCAGAAACTGGCAGTAGGACTGGGAGTTGAGCTCGACTCCATCCTCAACCCGAAAATGCCCCACAAGCTCATACTTGATGATACCAGCCCAAACCACTACTCCACCTCCACCTTGCTGGCGTCTGAGTCGGACTGGAGCTCTCTGCCCTTTACCAATCCAGCCACGGGCCCATCAAGACTCACTCTCATTTCATCAGTCCATAAAACCTTAGAAAAATCAGTCTTGAGATATTTCTTGGCCCAGTCTTGACGTTTCAGCTTGTGTGTCTTGTTCAGTGGTGGTCGTCTTTCAGCCTTTCTTACCTTGGCCATGTCTCTGAGTATTACACACCTTGTGCTTTTGGGCACTCCAGTGATGTTGCAGCTCTGAAATATGGCCAAACTGGTGGCAAGTGGCATCTTGGCAGCTGCACGCTTGACTTTTCTCAGTTCATGGGCTGTTGTTTTGCGCCTTGGTTTGTCCACACGCTTCTTGCAACCCTGTTGACTATTTTGAATGAAACACTTGATTGTTCGATGATCACGCTTCAGAAGCTTTGCAATTTTAAGACTGCTGCATCCCTCTGCAAGATATCTCACTATTTTTGACCTTCCTGAGCTTGTCAAGTCCTTCTTTTGACCCATTTTGCCAAAGGAAAGGAAGTTGCCTTATAATTATGCACACCTGATATAGGGTGTTGATGTCATTAGACCACACCCCTTCTCATTACAGAGATGCACATCACCTAAAATGCTTAATTGGTAGTAGGCTTTCGAGCCTATACAGCTTGGAGTAAGACAACACGCATGAAGAGGATGATGTGGACAAAATACTCTTTTGCCTAATAATTCTGCACTCCCTGTACACACATACACACGCACACACACACACATACATACACATATATATGTGTGTATATACACAAATGCATACATATATATATATACACATATATATATATATATATATATATATATATATATATATATATATTCATACATATATATATACATACATATATATATGTATTTGACTGGTGTATATATATATATATATATATATATATATATATATATATATATATATATATATACACACATATGTATATATATATAAATCCTGGTCGGGTCATACCAGAGACCTTGACAAAATGGGACCCAATGCCTCCTCACTACCAAATGGTTCCCGAGCGTGGCTGTGGCTGCAGCTCGCCGCTCCCCAGGGAATGGGTCAAATACGGAGAACAAATTTCACACACACCAGTGTGTGTGTGACAACGAATGGGACTTTATTTTAATTTATTCACATATATAGGATGGCTTTCCAGGCTATACTACAAATGGGAATATTAAATTCATTTTGAATTAGACAGCAATAACTTATTTTTCAGACAGACTTACTCTGACTTAGTGCTAGGCACTGCAGAGTTCCCTCTGGCCTGCACTGCCGTAGGCTTGTCTTTTGGAATGGGTGTGGGAGGAAGAGGATTTGATGGCGGGACTGAGGCTTTCCGTGGAGGTAGAGGGGGAATAGGTGGTGGCTCCCTGGAGGCAACCATGCGATTCTGTTTGTTCTTCTTCTCTTCGACTCTCTGAGTGTTATTAAATTTCTCCTCAAATCCAAAATCTGCAAGCATGTGAGCTGGATCTTTTGAAGAAAAACAAAACAGAGAGGATAGAAGAGTTAAATCTGACCGGACTTGGAAGGGAGAAAGTTTGAGATGAGAACTGAAAGATCAAGAGTTTGCTTTTCCAGCCACACTAAGAGCCCACTGCTTCAATTGACTGAGTGAATCTTTAGGTTACCTGTCGTATTATGATTTGTTGAAGTGCTGTCATTGAGGCTGGATTCCAGTGCACTGAACGTGTTGGCTGAGTTTTCTCCAACACCCACAGCACTGGGTGTCTTGGCTGCTCTTTGGGGTGGGATGGGGCCTGGCCCTCTTTGAGGTGTTGGTGCAAGGGGCTCCATGGCTTTGGGTTTGGTGAGTTTGGATGCAACTGAAAACATAATCATCCGAAAAAGCCACAAAATAACCAATATATTCCTACTCAAAACACGTTAATTTAAAAATTAAAAAGGTGCAACCTCAGAAACGTAACTGAAAATCCACACTGCAGTGAGCTTGCAATGGCTTTAATTTATATTATTACATACACACACTGAGCCGATGTTAGTAAAAGTAAATATAAACAAGACAGAATACTGATCTGAAATGAATAACACAATCTCAGCTAGCAGAGTGTTTTGTGAAAAAGAGAGAAGGAGGAAGTGGTCTGCTTATTCTGCCACGAGCACAAGATACCATTATCACCAGTTGGAAAAGAAAGCAAACAGCAGGAACTGACAAACTGGGTGAACAGGTTTAAGTGAGGAAATGATTTTAAGTTTGTATTTTAGCAGCACCCTGCTTTAGAATATATTTTTTCACCAGGAAGTTAGTCACAGGGATAACAACTAGAATAAAAATTCAATATGACAAAAGGCGAAAACATGCAGCCAAGTCCACTGGCTGAATAAACCCATACTTCTTATTTTAATTCCTGTTTCCACACAGTTTTAAGCTTTTTATATTGCACTTTAACTAAATGAACTTAAAGGTCTTTGACACTCATTCTTTAAATACCCCCTCTGTGGGGAAAGGCTCTGGCGTTCATGTTTTAGGTAGTAGAAGTTTGTCAGAAGAGAGAGAGAGAGTGTGTGTGTGTGTGTGTGTGTGGTGGGGTGGTGGTGGTGGGGGGGGGGGGGGGGCAGAAAACAACAGGATTTGGAGTCTGACTCGTTAAGATTCATGATATGCAAACATCTAGCCACTGATTGGCTAACAGCCACAAAACCCTTCTGCTGCCTTTGTTTGCTCTTTGTTCTTATGTAAAAAATTCTACACTGATGTTTCATCTCCACAGAATGCACAAACCTGAACATGTTCCGCCACATTGTGGAGCTGCTAAAGCTAATGGTTAGCTTCTACTAACAGAGATGTGGTCGCAAACCAAGGTGGACCCAGCCATGAATACCAATTATCCCTGTGATGTCGAGCTGTCCGTCTCGTTCTGACTTGATCATGTTTTGTCCATTTCCTTTCTGCAGCTAACGCAGGCAATGGGGGTTGAGAAAAATGTACAATTTCAGAATGCGTATGCAAATGAGTGACTGATTTCAAAGAGAACAACTATTAAGCTGTTTCTCTGTGAACATACCTTTATATCAACAAATACACCACACAATGTGTGCAGAAAATAATTTGCACAACACAAATCTCCCAAACAATACACGCGAACAACAAAAACTTAGGGTCAACATTTTGGTTTGAATGAACCAAAGTCTAGATCTCATTTCTGACTGGGATCTTTTAAGTAAAGGCACAAATTATGTCCTTAAAAACATGAAAAATCTCACAGAAATCTAAAAAAATATACAAGGAAACTACATATGAAATAGAGGTAGGCGATATGCTGACGTAATTTCAAGGATATTACTGTAAGTATTTGAAAAGAAAAAAAGAAAGGAGGTGTGCTGGTTGCTGATGTTAATGTTCCCTTAAAATGCTGTGGTCTCTGGAGAGTCACAGAAACTTGTAGAAAATACATTGAAGACTAAAAGAATAATGATGGAAACATGAAGGTAGCTAGCTCTGTAGCTTCAAAACCAGAAATGAAACACCATTTCTATATGTCCAGGGGTGGCAGATACATAAATACATGAGACATCAGGAAGCAACGTAATCCACCCTTTGTACATAAAAGTTAGAGGAGTGATTCATTAATTAATCACCTCCCTGCTTAAGGCTGCTGAGAGGCAGTGTAGTCTTACCTTGTCGCTGAGCACTTTTCACCTGGGTTAAGAAGAGCCGAGTCCGATCATCATCCTGAAGTTCCAACAGCAGCTCTGGCGCCTTTTCTCCTTTGATTTGTATTCTAACACAGGCTTTAGAACCAGAAAACACACACACACATGTCAGGCACCTACAGATTTCACTAACACACAAGAAATACAGTGTGTCTGAAACAAAGCAAAGTGACGCAACAGTAAAACTATTCAGCATGTCTTCACTAAGCCATGGCAACTCGTGAATGGAGTACCGGTATGCTCCTAGATAAAGACGTTTGGTTGTAAAAACGTTCTAAAATGCCATACGGCTGAAAAAAGGCAGCGCTGTTTGATTGGCAAGACTTTTGGAAGATAAAATATGGAACGGTGCTAAAAAACACATATTAAAGTCAATGATGACTACATATATTTGATTTTAACACAAAAGTACTCACAATCTATGGAGAGGTCAATGAGCAAGGCCTCTTCAGCTTCTGAGGGAAACAGAATAAAAATTTAAATAGTGCAGTTCAAAGGTCTGGAGTGGGAGTGGCCCACTGGTGTTATAAATTATCTCAAGAAGCACTACCTGTTCTGTGTTTACTTTCATATGCAAAGGAAAAGCAGAAGCTTCTAACACACAGCGAGAATGTAACGTCCACTGGTTTAAAATGTAAGGCTATGCATGTCTACTATACTTCTAATCCCAGATTATTTTACTTATTCTGGTTTAAATTAGAGTCAGCATCTAACATTTTTTGAACATTTATTTACACTCAACATACACAGGAAAAGCTGTAAGTATTTTGACTCCGACATGGAGAAAAGCCACATACCTCGTACAATTTCAAATTTATCATTAATGGGTATGGACAACTGAGCCACCGGACGGGACACAACAGCTTCAGGGTTGGCCAGAACACCCAGTCTGTGTAGAAACAGCAAGCATTCTGCCTTATCACAACTGTTGTTTATTTTAATATCAAGATTTTCCATCTTAAACATAAAGCACATATATAAAAAACATTGCTGCTAGCACTGACGTTCATGCAGGGTGCTTAACATTAGAACAGAGAAGATGGAGTCAAGATGTGCTTTAATTATCATGAACAATAGAAATTGAAAAAACACACATGCAAAACCTCTCTTTAGTGGCACACAACAAAAACAATAACTAGCAAGCACTGTGCATCATTCAGTTAATCAATACAAATCCACTGAGCATATAAAGAAGATTAAAGTGTTAAATTATCAAACTGTTGACACAAACGGCTTCAGAAGCATGATGTAGGTTTATGTAGGCAGGGTCACATTCCTGTGCTCACTAACATCTGACTAAGAGGACAAAGAGTCTTCCTGGGCACTCACTGCCCACTCTTCCCCTTCACTTGGTCTGATTATAGTGGAGAGGACAATTATTCAGGACTGCTGGGCAAAATGTGTCAGAAGCAGTTTCCCGAATCTGTCAGGATGAGAACTTCCGATGTAAACGCAACAGAATATTCAACAGGAAACAAAATGTTTTTTTTATTCTCCATTTGTACATTTTAGAGCCTGACGTGACAAACCCTCCAGTTTTGTCTGTTTTATCCAGATTATTGTGTCAATAATCCCATAATTTGTGTACCACAAACTGGTACTGATTGTATCCCAAGCCAATGTACAGAAGTGCATAAAAGCAAATACCACAGAAAAACACACCGAAGGCACAGAACACTGGTATGAACCTCAGGTAATGCCTTATGTCATGCAAAATCTTTCAATCATTTAAAATAAATCATGTCTATTTTGAAACATTCATAATGGTTTTTTCCCTCTTCATGACATTACTCTTTGGTGGCTTGTGTGGGCTTGCAGCCTGCAGCCTGCGTGCCCATGTGAGTCTCATTACAGCTAAAGATGAAGTGAAGGAATTCTGGATAATCTGCAGTGAGGTTACTGCTGGTGAAAGTAACTCCAAGCTACACATATGATTAAACATCTCCCTACTGTCTACACACAAAGTCTCCTTTCACCAAATAAGCCCTGGAGCTGTCCAGCTCACAGAAACCACGTTCTGCCCACATGGCATCCAGTTATTTTACACCTAAGAGCTAATCTGTGTAGTGACAAGAGTGGTGTGTGTGTGTGTGTGTGTGTGTGTGTGTGTGTGTGTGTGTGTGTGTGTGTGTGTGTGTGTGTGTGTGTGTGTGTGTGTGTGTGTGTGTGTGTGTGTGTGTGTGTGTGTGTAAAGGGGCATGCTCATTCAGTTAAACATCCTGGATTTAAAATAGCCACCAGCCTGAGATAACTCAAAAAGACAAATAAATCTGACATTCAGGATAGAAAACACAGACCGATGTTGGTTATCCCGGTCAACATCAAAATAACTTGAATTTTCATTTGCACATTTTAAGATTCCATCAGTGTGACAGCAGTCTAGTGCAAAGTGTGTTTAAGAACTTCATAAAACACAAGATAACAGCTCGATTGAATGTTAAGAGCTCTATTTTTGATTATGGAACAGGAAAGTAACTTGTTAAAGGTTAACTGATGAAGCAGCTCCTGTATACCCAAATAATTCTGCTCAGGTCACACACTTCAGGTCAACTGCAGCTTCCTCTGACAAAGACAGCTCTCAACAACTTGGGTTTCATTTGAATGAAGTCAAAACTAAACAGGAGCAATAATAAAACAAAACACCTTACTGTGTTATTAAGCGATTCAGCAACAAACACACAGCTTTGGGACATTGGGACAACCCAATGTCAACATACTTTCAGTAATTGTTATTTCTGATACTTACTTAAACTCTCCATTGTGTTCAATTAGTGACAGTAACCTGGACTCCTTCTGGCCAGACCTCAGCTCCTGAGCTTTTACAGTTTGAGCAGCACAATCAAGGAATCATTGAGATGGATGATGAGATATCACAACTACAGCTGTTACCCAGTACTACCGGAACAGTGTTCGAAAATCATTATGAATAAGTCTGTATTCAGTTGAAGAAAGATGTTAATGAAGCCATGCAAACTGAAAATCAGGAAGGAAATTAATGACAAGCATTAACAACGTGAAATAAGAGAGAAAGAATAGTGCCAGTGGCAGCAAAAATCTAACAGGGGCAAATATTAAACCAGGTTGTTTTATACAAACAACATTTGAAACCTGAGCCTGGAGGCTTTTTCATAACCAGGGTAAAAGGAGAAACCTGGGCCAGATCAAGCCACAAAAAAACGGAGACTTAGATCACTAGATCCACAGACGTGAAAGGAAGAATTCAGGGTTTGACCGAGCCCATCAGTACAGTAGAGGAGCGGCAAAGAACAAAAATATCTGTATCTAAGCAATTTTAGCAATACAAGCTAAACATATCCTCCGTGTTTAGCAGTTCTTAGTGTTAGCTGTTACTGTGACTTCAACCACTGGATAATCGCAAATAGAATGTGATGCTACATAATCATAATACATAATAAGAAAGGTAAATAAAACTGGGTGAAATTATCCAGTATTAACTAAATGTGTCGCCACAATAAATGATGTGTCACTGCTTTTGTGGAAAAGAAAAGTCTTTCTTAAATCAGCCCGAATAATAACATTAAGTAGCTATCTCACAACGGTTTAGTGAATTAGCCCTCTGATCAACTGTATTTACATGGCTAGCTGTTCATAACTCATTCGCTAACTCGTATACAATTCAAACACAACTTTAAGGATATTGCCAAGCATTCTTCGTTGCAAATCCCCAGCGTGGACTCCATTCTTACCAAGATAAATAAATACGTATCACTTTTAGGGTCTTTACGTTGAGCAGATGTTGAGGCAAAAAAAAAGTTAAATCTCCACCCGGCGCTGTGGCGGCCTCCTTCCGGGAAGCTGGCTAACCGCTCCTTTAGCCAGCTGTTGTTATTGTTGCCGCTGGAAGGTCTCACAAACGTTTAATGGAATTTAGGAGTTAAAACAACCCCTGATAACTTCCATCATTCTGTCAGAAACATGAGAATGTTCAGTTTCTCTCGTGTCCCTCTCGGTGTCAAGAGACAAACCCCTCGGACAACATAACGTTATCGGGTGGTTTGTAGCACACAGATATGCTACACTTCGAAGACTCCCAGGGTTTGCTCCCTAGCTAGCTACCCAAACTAGTCGTTCTTCGCCTTCATCAGACTTCAATTTTAGTGCACTCCTTCGCATGAAGGTACTTAGCGCTCCCCAGTGTTCTGGAGGATGAACAGACACCCGGCGACTTCATGCCGCAAAAACAAATGCTTCAAACTAATAGCAAATTATTTATATTTTCTGCTTAAAAATCTAAATTACGTTGTCCAAGACAGACACAAATATTTAAAAAACAATATTTGATTTTTTTCTTGCATATTAAACAGATTCAGTTGAGAGTATTAAAAAAACTTTTCAGTCAGAGTTTCCTTGGAAACGTTTTATTATTGTGGAGTTGTTTGAGACTAACACCAGAATGAACAGTTATGAAACAGAATATTTTAAAGAAAAGTCAATCAAATGGATAGAGTTCATCTGAGCCTTGTCCATTCCTTTACACAAAGAAAGTCTAAATCAGAGAAGATAAATGTCATTGTGGATAAAACCATACTTGTTCAAATCAAATCTGAACAAATAGTAGTTTGAATAGAGCACAATGACTCCTTGTTATTGTGTGTTTTACATTATGAACATAGTTAATTCAGAGAGGTGTAAGTTAGGTGACATTCAATCAAATATCTCTCTGTGTGTATTCTGCTCTTTTAAATCACCGGATATGGCTTCACTCAACTGTTGTAGGTTTTTATTTTGTGAATTGCATAAGGACTAGAGTCCAGGTGTGGCCAGATGTCTCCAATGGGCAAATCCCTCGTCTGCTGCACATCAACCATCTCCATTGTTAGAGCTGACGGGCTGAGAACATCTGTTGTACGGTAAGACTGTGTGAGGCGACAGAAGGAGGAGGTGTCTGAGACTTCTTCATCGAAGAGGTTGTCTATGAGCTCCTTCCTCTTTCTGCGTGATGCTTTTATCTGATCATTCAGGTCAGAAACCAGATCCTTAACATCTCTCACTATGGTGGAGCGAATTCCAAACAGGCAGAGTAGGAACACCAGTCCAGCACAGATGCCAGAAACGAAGTACAGAGCTACTCGCTCCGGGAAAACTGAAGGAGAGACGAATGTGGTTATCATTGGTCAAACAACATTTGTACTGCTTCATCCTGTACAATATGCAAATGCTTTAAAGGGGTCTTGACAGTTTTTGAAGTTATAATAGTCCTATGGTCTACGCAAAGTGTTTATGAAGTTCTTTGCTCTAAATCCCCATCCCATAAATCAATCTCAACAAATTTGTTCTTGCCAGTTTCAGTACCTTCCAGAATGAGCAGTCTCAGGGCTCTGTCTCTTTCAAGCAGCACTGGTTAGTTTACAGAGAATGCTGCAGAGCACACCATGTGGCCATTCGAGGAACTGCAGTCCGCAAAATGTGCACTTCCATTATGTACAAACCTATTTTTTATTGTTTACTTAATTATTTACCTATTTATTTTAATATTATTTACCACCACCACCCATTGTGAGGTGGGGGGAATCACATGCTGATGGTCTTACTCTGTCGCCGACAAACAGGAATCGACAGCTCAGTTAACACAAAACAAATTACATTAAAGGCTGCCCGCTCCAATTTCAGAACACATTTTGTGTAATTATGTCAAAATAAACCAATTTACCAGGTTACAAAGGCATACAAGTCATTAGATGGGGGGGGGGGGGGGGGGGGGGGTCTTGAACAGTTGATGTCATGCATTTAGGGGCCTATAGAGGCAGTAGATACCCACAAAAGGATGCAAAAACTGAGTTTTGCATAATATGCATCCATAGACTTTTTAGTATTGTCCTAAACCAATTGTCCACTAAATATTTCACTGTGGAATTTATTTTTATTTATTAATTTTCAGAGTGTACAAAAATGGAATCAACAGTTCACAAAGGGTTTCCTTGAAATGCAAGAGTAACATGTGTTCCTATGTATCCAGCCTGATCTGCAGGCACTACTGCACATACCCCACATTTTTTCAAAGATCTCCAGAGAGTTGGTTACAAACACATTTTGAGTCTTATAGGTGGGGCCAGTGTACCATCCTCCTGCAGGAGAGAGGGGTCTGGGCTCAGTCAGCCTGTCCAGCGCAACTAAACCTGTCAAAGTCAGTGTCAGTCTCACCGTGTGTGTAGTCTGAGATCATGAAAGGATCTGTTGAGCCTCGGCCCACATCTTCTAGAAGAAACCTGGGAACTGAGAGGAAATGAAAGATTTTTAAATCAACAGAAAGCCACATTGCTTCAGCTGAAAACAAACACATGTATTCTGTTATTTACCACAAGTAAAGGACACTCGCAGGTGTTTCCTGGTACCGGGAAAGCAAGGGTCCCCAAAGGTTTGGGTGTCAGCTAGAACTGAGCAGTTAGCTCTGCCGTGACACCTGCGTGACACCCTCCTCAGAGCTACAGCTGACAAACACTCTGAAACATAAAACAACCTAATAAACACAAAACAAATCAGTGCAGTGATGCGTATAATTTCCTAATAAACAAGCTTATATTGAAATAACTGACAGCAACTGTTTCCATTTTGCTAATAAAAGTCTGTTTCAGACCCATATCATTTTGGAATCTGGGTTCTTCAGGGCAGTGAGGACTGCCATGCAGCAGGTGACCAAATGTAGCAGAGTAGATGGCGAGGACGGTCTCGTTTCTGCACGCCAACCTCAGACGCTCGTTTTCACACACAAGTCTGGTGTGGTGGTACTCTGAAGAACAGATGATAGAAATAACACCCTAAACAACTTCTTTAGCAATTTTTTCAAGAACTTTCAACATATGAACAAAAATAATGTGTTTTGATGGGCTTCCCTTCATAATCAAATACGTTCATAACTTTTAGGGGCAGGATTTCTAGGAACAGCCAAGGTGTTGAGGGGATCTGTTTAGGTGGCCTAAGGGTCAGGTCTCTGCTTTTTGCAGATGATGTGGTCCTGTTGGCTACATCAGAACATGATCTCCAGCTTTGGATGGAGCGGTTTGAATTGGGTGTGAAGCAGCTGGGATGAGAATCAACTCCTCTAAATCCGAGACCATGGTCTTGAATCGGAAAAGGAGAGAATGTCTTCTCCAGGTCAGGGATGAGGTCCTGCCTCAAGTGGAGGTTTAAGTATCTCAGGGTCTTGTTCATGAGTGAGGGAAAGATGAATCTCCAGATCAATAGGTGGATTGGTGCTGCGTCTGCAGTGAAGCAAGAGTGCCCGGGAGGGGCTCAGAGTAGACCCGCTGCTCCGCCATGTCGAGAGAAATCAATTGTGATAGCTCGGGCATCTGGTCAGGATGCCTTCTGGACGCCGACGTGCCATGGGGGCTGCTGCCATTAAAAAGTGCCCTTTGCAGTCAGATGCAGATGAGGTGGGTGGTGCATGTAAAAAAATAATAACTTTGATCCAAGATCTCTTAGCAAAGCCATAACTACCCAGATGATCGTATTTAAAAAAAAATCTAATTTGTCATTTTGAAGCTGTAGCTAGGTGGAGTGTGTGTTTTCAGAGTTAATTTATTTTACAAACACTTTAGAGCACATTTTATTGTTTTATCATTAGAAACAATAATGAAAAATCCTACAACTTCTTTTAAAAGATGTACAAAATGTACACTGCACCAGCTCTTCAGGTATAGGTCTACTACAGAAAGGTTAATGAGCCAAAAAGGGATCCGTTATCTTGTCTTTTTATCTTATTTTGTCTGATCAGTGCCTTCTTAGTAGTCACAAATCTTGTTCTAAAGCTATCAAAATTCAAAACTCTATAAAATATTTACTTGAATTAGGAATAAAGGTACAAATCATGATCTACCAATGTTTTTCTAAATGGAAATTACATCCAGATGAATGTCAAACATGTCAAGAGAATGAAAAAGATCCACTATTTAAAGTTAATATGTTCTTAGTTGTTCTCTGTGAGGCTTTCAGACATGATCACAGATTATCAGATGTTTTTTTAAGTTGGGGTCAGAGTTATGGCTAGCTTATACTTCTCTGAAGGTCTCTGTGCAGAGACATGCAACACCATTATCCGTCATTGCAAGGGCCCTCCAACGGGCTCGCAAGGACGGACAGAGTGGAGTCCACTTTAACTCTCCGTTGAAAGCAATGGAGACTGCAAGCCTGTGATAGGTGAGAATGTTTCTTCCTTTACCTTTGTCCACATCACCACCCACTCAAAAAAGTTAAACAAAAGCAAAACATAGAGACATACACGAGGCAGATTGAATAACATCCCACCGAAAAAGTCAGATGATATTAATGTTCATACATTGAAGGAGTACAAGATCTGCAGCAAACTTTTTATTTGTGTCAAGAAATTATCGGAAACATGGGTGGTGGTGACTGGATAAAGAGGTGGAGGACAAATGTGTCAGTGTTAAAAAGTCTCTGAAAAGAGCTTGGGATCACACGTGATTAGGCAGTGCATTATGGGACATTGCAGGCATGTTGGTCAGAGAAGAATCCTAACCTGAACCCTGACGAAGACAGCAATGTCGAAATGTTAGTTCATTTATTTGCACCAATTAAATATTTTACTTTGACCCGAGTGTTCCAGCGTTCTCCATCCGCTTAACCGTCTCAGGCTCAAAATAAGTGTTGATAAAAGGACAAACAACTAAGTCCTTCAGGGGTACTTCTGAGTTAAAAAATGCTCGTGAAATACGTATGTGGAGTAACCAGGTAGGTAGGTTTTAACGTTGCAAATCTGCAACGCCTGCCTCCAGAGGGTTAAAAACCTGAAACACTTCACAGAAAAAACTGAAAGTTTACATGAATGTTCTGTTAACTTAAAATATTCAGAACTGTCCTTTTTTATTTTGTGTTTTACTTTTAATAAATGGTTGCTGTGAGGTGGTTTAGACATGTTTTTTTCCTTGATATTTTTAGTTGAACACTGCTCAGTGGTTCACCTGGTCGGCACTTATAGTAGACCAGGAGGTACTTGCTGGTGAGCGGACAGGAGTCTGGTCCAAACACTGGAGCGAGGACAGGGATGTGACACGACTGCTGGTCCTGACACTCTGACAGCACCTTCTGTAACAGCAGGAGTTACATTCATGAGGGAATCATGCAATGGCAGGTTTTCAGTCAAACAGAGACGTGTTTTTACCTCGTTGGCAACAGGGGAGGTGCACTCTGTGTCCCTCTCTCCTGTCATGTTTGTGTTTACAGAGGGACATAAATACTTATCGGGAACACGTCGTCCATAGAAGGCTGATAGAACAGCAACCGACGTCCTGCGGGGACACTTGATGATGAGAATGTCTCCTTCACAAGCATGAGCTGTGTGGTTCTTCAGAATACTGTGGAGATACACTAAACAAAACCAAATTTACAGGGGGTTTATATCTGTTCATTACGAATGAGAGAATTTCCTCAAATAGCTAATTAGCAGCATTCCTCCATAACGGGATGAAGTTAGGGTCTCAATTTATCTGTGACACTTAGTCTTGCTGGTGGACAGGGTGGTGTTCTCCAAGACTTAGGGTGTAACGCTCCTAAACAATGTTTGGACTTTGACCACAAAGACACCACAAAGTCTCCCCTCCCAGTGTGTTTCCTCTCATTTGTAATAAACAGATCTGCTGCCGTCATCAGTCAGGACCCGCCTTTAGGTTAAACCTTTTTTAAAAGGGTTTTGTGATTAATACAAATGTTTCTGTTTGATTTAGTTTCACTCGAGTTGACGTTAAGTTTCCAGTCCAAAAATATGAGACAGGAAATCCCATGAAATCAAACAATTGTGAGTGTTCTGTGTGGCAGTACCAAGCACTCATTCACAATGCACTATTATTAGCCTGCAACCAAACAAAGCAAAAATGGACATGAAAATAAGTGTCACAGCACTTTTAACTTGTCACCATGATTTCATCAGCCCCACAAGTCAAAATTGCACACAATTAGACTTAAAAAACTATTATGTTGTAAAATCTTTAAAGCTAGCAGGCCACTTTTTGTTAATTTCTTAAATATCTTTCCTGTAACCTTCTAATCCTGATTTAAGTCTCTCAGTACAATTTTAAGCTGGATCTTGGAAAGCAGGATGTACAAAATATTAGGAAATGTTTTTTGACACATCCTGTCAGAAGCCCACACAACTAGAAACTCATGCATCAGCATTGTTTTACACAAGAAAAAAGTCACTTACGAGAGACATCCGGAGCTGAATGTACATCAGTCATCTTCCAAAAAAGAAAAAGGTAAAACAGACATGAAGGAGAGCAGAAAATCTGCGTGTTTTTCATTTTAAATACCCAGAAAAGAAAGCTGGGTTATTTGCACAATGTGTTGTTGTGTTTGGTGGAATTTCAATAAGGTCATTGTGCCTCAAAAAACAGCCACCCTCCCTGTTGGCGTTAAAACGAGGGGCTGCTGTGAAACTGGATGACAGTGATGGTGCAAATCATCGTGATTTTTGTCAAAATCATTTCATTTATTTATAAATTAGTTTTGTGAATCATGTCAAGTTAGCACCAGAAAGACTCTCAAAATGTCCCATTTTGCATGTTTTCTTTTATGAGTTGTTTCTCCCGTTCTACAAGAAAAAATGGTTAACAATTAGTATTCACTGATGTTAAAGCAGTCTTTTATGCAACAGATTTATAAACTGCATGTTCATTTTGTTTATTTTGGTTTTATAAATCTTTAGTTTAAAAAAAAATTAAATTGTTTTTACAGCTTTTAAAACCAAGAAAATACATTAAACGTAGAATTCCACAAGGTTTAGTGTTGAGTCCAAAATATTTTGCTTTTATCAAATAATTGTTAAAGTTAGTTTGCCATAAATGAAAACATTTTCTGTTCCTATTTTGAAAGTTTCAGTTTTCTTTAAAACATTCTGTCCTTTAAAAATTTAATAGAATGTCAAATCTTTCTTGTTCTGAAGTTACCAATGAAACACGTAAATATTCTAACAAATTAGAAAAGATAAAAAGGTTATGTTACAGATGTTGTTCGACTCCTAATAAACAACATTCTTATAACATTGTAATATTTCTTTATTATTTTCTGAGCTTATTCTTGAATAAAACATGTTCTCAGACAGTTTATGTCTCCCCAAATGTTTTAATGCATATATGTCTCAATAATAAACATTATGATCATTATTTGGATTTATTTGTCACAGCCCCTCTATATGTGGGGTTTATGTCCCCTTCTTAAGGAAATAAGCACTTCCTTACTTCACAAAATCAAGAGATGGGGTAGTTCCTCTGAAACATCTGATGTATTATGAAAGTTTATTTTAAAAAGCAGAAATGATATTAAAGAACTTTGGAAATGATTTCAAATTGAGTCGAGTAGTCAGTTTTGAGTTTTACTAAAGATTTCCTATACCAGAAGAAAAATCTGAAAATCATGAACCAATGGCAAAACTGGGTTCAATCACATCTTAGCAACAAAGCAAACAAATTCCAAACAAACTCACATTTTAGCAATTTTTCTTCAAGTTTCTGCTCACAAACTGCTTCATATTTAAAGGGGAACACAACACTTTATTTGGATGGTAACATCTTGGCCTTACAGGACATTCTGTGTTTAAAATGGCAAAAGCAACTCTCAATCAAAAATACTTTATTAATCCCAAAGAGAAATTAGAGGGAACTTTATTAGTCACAGGATCATGTTTACAGAGATAAGGATTTTTTTTTTCCAAGAGGTCACCTCCAGCGGCAGTGTTTGTCCAGGGAACGTGTGTGTAATCCTCTTTATGAGACATAGCATTCCTCCTTCTTTTCCGGAGAAAAGGAAGTAAAAGATAAAGTGTTTCCAAAACTGATGGACATTATTTCTACAGTCATTTCAGAGGAACCTCTCGTGTAGATTTCCATTACAGCATTATTCCTTTACAGTATGTTTGTTCATCCTCTCATTCTGAAAACACACATCTGTTTAAAATTCCTTCAGTCTGTTGCATAATGCAGTGTTTATTGACTCATTTCTTTGGGGAAGTGAACCACACAGCTCTGGGAATTTTACAATAAAACGTCCCCTACTTGCTCTACGTGAATAAGAAGTGAAACTAGAGACTTCATTCACTTTCACCTTCAACTTAATCTGCCACTAGATTTGTGGACTGTGAAACATCATTTATTTGGGGGGAGTTTCAGAAAAACAAAAAGTAAAAACAGAAGTCTGAATACTAACGTCCCACAACAGTGAGGTTGAATCCAAAACAACTAATTTCTCAAAACACAAAAGTTTAAACTAAAATACACATTGATTTTGTTCAGTGTCTTAAATGCCACATATGATCTTTATAAAAATGTAGTTTGTGAAAAGCTTCCACTACAGAACATGTTTCTTTAGTGCTTGAATGCATAAAATGCAGCTAAAGATGCGCCAAAACTACAAGTAAATGTTTTACCTTTGTCCTTGTCCTTCTTTTATTAATTTTTTTTCAGATGTAAATGTTATTTATTTAATGATGCATAATGTTCAAATGCTAACTAATTTTTAAAGTTGGCTAAAGATTGTGGTTCTTGTAAAAAAAATTGTAATGCATCAAGTAAATTAGTACATTGTCATTTGGCGTTAGCACTCTTGGGTGTTTTACAGTAGGGAGCACTTGCTACACTTATTGCGATAATATTTCTCCGGCAGTATAAGGTGGTTGTTTGTCGTCTTGCTGTTAGCTTGCTGTTACAGTTCCCAAATTACTCATTACAGGGAGTAAAATGTCACAATTGACTTATTATTCACTTCACACATACATTTCGCTGGAATATCCAGTTGTTGGGAACTGAAAAGTTTTAACTTGAGATACCGTAAATCCTCTAATACAGGCTGGTATTCAATTAAAGGCCGGGTCTCCAATTCTGGTCGGTGTCGGAGTCAGCGGAGGCAAATAATGGCCGGTCTCTTATTGTGGCCGGATGGAAAGTGGTAACTAGCAAGTACAAGCGTCCCAGCGGCAGGGTTGTAGTCCCCAAATCAACCAGCAAGAGGCAGTAGAAGTTCACGCAGACCTATTTTAGGCTTTTTCTTCAATGCTTTGTAACGCTACAGACACGATCCTCTATCACGCTCCTACCACACAGAGTCACGGTGTCAGTTAACCATGCTAATTCAACCCGCTCCACAGAACACACATCACCTTCCCTGTGGCTTACATAACACTCACACAACACGCAAATCAACACATAGGAACTAGCAGAACGATAGGAAACACATATAACACAATACCCAGAATGCACCTGGCTTACAACCCCAGCCAGGTCATTACACTATCAAGTTCAAAGAGAACGAGCTGATTATGCTGCAGAACACTCTGGAGAGCAGCAGTAGGGGGTGTATGAACTACAGTAATCCCTCGTTTATCGCGGTAGATGCGTTCCAGACCTGGCCGCGATAGGTGAAAATCCGCGAAGTAGGGACTCCCAGCATGCCCCTCGCGGGGATTCCCTTCACGTCGCACCTACGTCACAAACCGCGGCTATAAACGGAAGTCGCCTTTCCAGCTCACCACTCAGTCATCGTTTCTTCAGATTCACGATCAGAGTTTCCAACCTACCGATCAATCCAACGAACTATCAGCTCATAGTAAGTTATCTTACTTACTTCTGGAAAGCCCGGCATTTCCGTGTCACTTCGTTGACCCTCAAACGCTCGGGGGTTTCCTAGAGCACCGACGCTATCACTTCCGCGTCTGTGAAACCACGCTCCCTATTGAATTATCGTATGATCACATTCTCTTTGATCAGCAACGCGCTGTGCCGGACCGTAGGTACTGACACGCGATCGTTCATGTCGGTTCATTTCCTTTAATGTTTTCTGTCTTTTAGTTGCGCCTGATGTGTATCGCTGCTGTGGAGCGGGGCGCTTCACCTTGTCCTCCGACGCACAGATCACAGCAGGGAGCGCTCAGCTGTTTTCGCGGTCGGTAGATCTGCCTCCTGAGCACGGCCAAAGTAACAATCAGGTGTCGCCACCTCAAAAACTAATTTAACACGCGATCGTTCATGTCAGTTCATTTCCTTTAATGTTTTCTGTCTTTTATTTGCGCCTGATGTGTTTCGCTGCATGCTGTGGAGCGGGGCGCTGCGCGCATCACCTTGTCCTCCGACGCACTGATCACTGATACAGCCGCCAAACAGCAAGCGCTCCGCTGTTTTAGCGGTCGATAGATCTTTTAGAACTGCAGTTCAAAGGTAACTCATGAGGTGAATATATATGAACCCAGGTAGCAGTTTTTCTTTAGGATTGAGAGGAGATGCAGGAAGATAATAAACAGGCAGGACAGAAAAATAGTCAAACAAAAACTAGTTAGTTTTTGTACCTGCTGTTGCAACAAACAGACACCATTGAAGGTCATCAGAAGTGAGGAACAGAAAATGAAATAATTATTTTAATGTTTAGAGCAGCAGCAACTCCGAGAGGCTGCAGGCGCATCAGTGAGTTTGCGGCCGCTGCGCAGGGGGAGGGGGGAGAGGGCTGAAGCAGGAACTACCGTTGTTAAAAGAAATGTGTTTAACTTTGAAAATGTGAGCGCAATTTTAATTGTCAAAAACTCCAGCGAACCATTAGTTCATTTTGCTCAAATAGAAATAGAGGCCTGCCTCTAATACTGGCCCTCCTTCCAATAAAGGCCTGGAGCTTGATGAGCTTGCGTCAAATACAGGCCCGGGCCTGTATTAGAGGATTTACGGTATTTTATTAACTAATTGCTTCTAATTCACTGTTAGCATTGTTAGCTCAATATTAGCCTATAGCTGCTTCATCCGATTTTAGATAAAAACAAATAAAGCCATAGCTTCTTGAGTTACAAGAAATAACTTCTGAGTCATTCCTGTTTACTGAATTCAGTTCTTTAAACAACTCTTGAGCTTTTTGTTTGCCAGTGTCGAATTGCAAATGCACAAGCATTAGCTCACTGGAGACACAGCAACCCTACAAACTTGCTGATTGTAATCAGTGACTATGTCACTCTTTATTTATTTATTTTTATTGTTTTTTTTTAAAGGAAAGAAACTGACAATCCCCCAACCAGCTGAGAATGAAATTTGTTTCAATGTTAACTTCCTTCCAACATGACTAAGACATAAAACTGCTCTGTGACTGTTTCACTGTAGAAATTTTACATATTGCTCCTTTAAGTAAAAAAAAACCATGCATTTTATACGATTTTATACCAAAGCTAATATGACGCTTTTTTTTTGTAGAGTTCCATTGCTGCTGGATTAAATGCCTGTTTGAAGTCCTACAGCCTTTGTTTGTATACAGTGAGAGGTTATAGGTCACAACCCACCACACTATCAATTCCTGTGCATCATAATGCGCAAAGGAATCTTGTGTTTGACTCAGCTGTTGAAAAAAGAAAGACAGCAAAAGTGTCCGCCCATTTTTAAAGACCCTCCCCTCCCTTAGCTTGTCAAGTATGCTCTGAGCCAGACTCCCTACAAGGACTCCTTCAGACAAACACCAGCAGCAGTGGTGGCATAAACATCAAGGAATAAAACACTGCGAACTACACGCATTCAGTTAGTCAGCATTTTCTCTTTTGCTCTGTGGATTTTTCCCAATAATTAACTGAAGTTGGACTTTTAGAAAGTTTTCTTTTTGTTTTCATACCATGGCACTTCGACAAAACTCAGAAAGGGAACCAAGCATCGAGTTGTTTATTAAGGTCAGTCTTCCTTCAATTTCCAAACTTACGTGATGGGTGAAAGTTCACAATAAATGTATTTGCATTTTTTAATTGTTTGGTTTTTTGGTTCATATTTAGATGTGTTGCTCATCTTATTCAGATTCAACACAGGAAATATATTTTTATAAGAACAGAGACAACCAGTGGATTTTTTTTAGACTGGGTCTGTGTTCAGGCAGATGTTGAGGTGTTTTAACCCCACTGAGGGTGACGGCAGTGGGGCTGTTATCAGTGAACTCTGACTGACTGCATGTTATCATTGCACACCCAGAAGAAGCCAGGAGCATGGAGAGAGACTGGCCTCACGCCTGAACTCGACACACCCACTTTAGTCCTGCAAAAACTCAAAGATCGTCATTAACCTCTTTTCTACATTTTTAATCATCAAAGATCTTTCCAGGTTAAATACGTTCAGTTGGGACATCAAGAATTATACAAAATATGAATTCCTGTTGGTTTTCCAGCCATTATGGAAAGCTTAGCTCACACTCTACACAAAAAGGAAAAGGACAGTTTAAGTGTGACATAGTGACATGGGGCTTTAAAGTGTAAGCAGGCTAAAACTGGACGGCAACTGGGAGAGTCTGATTTCCGTTACAGGACAATGCCTGCGTTTCCTTTCCACAGAGAAAAATAAATGGCTTTTAAAGATCCTGGACACTTCTTTCACTCCCAAAACTCCCTTTAATCAAGAAAAAGGAGGAAATTGTTTACTTTAAATGATAAAACAAATCATTCCTGCTGCACACAAACATAAAATGACATTTTTTGACAGTATTTGTTGTGTTTTCAGGCTGGGCATGATGGTGAAAACATAGGAAACTGCCCGTTCTGCCAGAGGCTCTTCATGGTTCTGTGGCTGAAAGGAGTCAAGTTTACAGTGACTACCGTTGATATGAGGAAGTAAGCAGATCTCCGCTAGTAAAGAAAACAGGACTTCCTGAGCATCTGGTCATGGGGAATTTCACACAGTTAAAAAGCAGAAAAGCATTTTAAGTAATCCAAACCCTTTCTCAGCAGCTTATTCAAATTCAATTCAAATTCAAAAAAACTTTAATGATCCCGAGGGGCAATTGTTTGATGCACTTTGTTCAGTGGAGGTGAAAATGGAAAAAGGCCTTTTAAAACCCCAACATGTACAGAGTCCTCTCTGTCACCTTTAACAAACACCTTCGTTAATTAAAGTGTTACTGTGTGAGTCTGCCTATGAGTCAGGAAACTTTGAAAAGACGCTGATAAAGAAGTTATTCATAGGCAACATACATGAGTCCTTTAAACAGATGACCGCTCCCAGAGGCGTGTAAACCCATCAGCCTGTAAATATTAATACAGAGGGACATGTCTCTTAACAGTCTCAACAGCCTCCTCTGTGTCCACTCTCGGGGACAGCTCTGAATCACACTCCTGATCGTTTTCATGTCCTCTCCAGGAAGCCGGCTGAGCTCAAAGACTTGGCTCCTGGGACCAACCCTCCGTTTCTCCTCTACAACGGCACCCTTAAAACAGACTTCATCAAGATTGAGGAGTTTCTTGAACAAACACTGGCTCCTCCCAGGTAAGCTTGCATTTAATCATTACAGGAATACCAGTGGGAGTGGGAGTTTGGTTTCAGAGCAAAATGAAATTCCAGGCTTCACCCTTTTTTAGGTATCCTCATCTCAGTCCAGTAAACAAGGAGTCATTTGATGTGGGTGCAGATATTTTTGCAAAGTTCTCTGCTTTCATCAAAAACAGCCCAAACAACGCCTGTAAGTATTTTTTTTATTCAGATTTATAGCACGATTGCATCACATGCACCGCCAGAGTTAAGGATCTTTGCTTCTGACCTTCTACAGTGCAGGAGAAGAACCTTCTACGAGAATTTAAGCGTTTGGACGACTTCTTAAATACCCCCTTACCTGAGGAGATCGACCACAACTCAACAGAAAACATCACCGTCTCCAAGAGGAGGTTTCTGGATGGAGATCGCCTCACCTTGGCTGACTGCAACCTGCTGCCCAAGCTGCATGTGATCAGGGTGAGACTCTGACCTCATAAACTCAGATGTTATTACTCAGCAGGGTGGGAATGGAGAAGGCCTCTCTGAAGAGTTAGAGCTGGATGTTATACACTCTAAGAATGCTAGAGAAATATTATACATGTCAGAGAACTGATGGCCAAAAATAATCAGCAGCTAGGATGAGAATCAGCTCCTCCAAATCCGAAACCATGCTTGAGTCGGAAAAGGGTAGAATGCTTTCTCTGGGTCAGAGGTCATGCCTCAAGCGGAGGAGTTTAAGTATCTTGTTCACGAGTGTTCTTGTTCACGAGTGAAGGGAAAATGGACCGTGAGATCGACAGGCAGATTGGTGCTGCGTCTGCAGTGATGCCGGTTGATCTACCTTCTAACCCTCACCTATGGTCACGAGCTTTGGGTAGTGACCGAAAGAATGAGATTGCATTTTTCATTCTTTTCTGCAACAATATTTCTAAAGTAACACAAATAAATTAATTATTATAAGGTAATAACAATAACAACAATAATAACAATAGTAGTAGTAGTAGTAGTAGTAGTAATAATAATAATAACATTCAAACACCTGCATGTTCTTTAGATAGATTTAGTTTACTTTGTTTTGTTTTAGTCTTTTTGTTGTTATTGTTTTACCAAAATGCCATAAGGTTAAGAAATTAATGATATTTTTTATCATCTGTATTTCTCATAAGCAGCCGCTCTAAAATAATTATTTACGGCCATTTCTGCACATTAGTCATAGCAGAGACTGATGTTAATTGATCTCTCAATCAGTAACAAAAGTCTTGTGTATTTAGAGAGAAAAACTCAACAATGTTTATGCACTAACACCAAATAAAATAATTTAAATAATTAGTTTCTTCCTGAATTTTTAAAGTAATTCTCAAAAAACTTTTTTTTTCTTTCCAGGTTGCTGCCAAGAAGTACTGTGATTTTGACATTCCTAATCACTTTACGGGTGTTTGGAGATACCTGGAGACCGCCTACGAGAGGGAGGAGTTCAAGCAGACGTGTCCAGCCGATGTAGAGATTGAGAAAGCTTACTTCAGCGTTGCCAAGCAGACAAAATAAACCTAATCCTTTTGTTGCATGTAGGGATGTCGCTCTGTGGAGGGCACCACTGCCATAAAAATAACCCAATGGCGATGAATCAGACACCCTAAAAACTCTGATGACATGTCATGCTAACATATATATACTGGTTTTTTATAGTTACACACAGATAGAAAAGGCCAAAGGTGCAATTGACTATTAATTATTAGGTAGTGGAGTTGTTGTTTATAGTGTAAATATAGTTACTTTTAATGTGTTCTCATTTTAAACTCAATTGTTTAGCTCAGAGACACAGTTAATGACCCTGTAAATTATGTATGACCATTAGGCTAGGTCAATAACACACTATTAAAAAAAATCACACTAGTGTGTTTTGAATGTTGTTATCATTTATGGTTGCGCAAAGTTGATATTTACAATTCAATATTGCAAAGAGATTAAACTAACATATGAAATAATAAATTTACATCACTTAGATGGCATTTGTGATATTTAAGTTTATTTTCAGTCACAAAACAAGACCAATTCGCAGCTTCAAAAATATATGTATAGGTGTATATTTATACCATTTGATGATGAGAAAAGAAAAACCAAGATGGACGAGGAAGATGTTTGCAGCAGGGACACACTGCTGTCCTCTAATTGGTCACACAGTATTTCCAGAAACACGCTGCAAAGACAAACATCCGAGGCAGAAATCAGACACAACTTGGGTTTTCCTTCAGTGTCCAGCATCTATTTCTATCATGAATACGTTTTGATCCACTCAGACGTCCTAAAATCCAAAAGTTTTATGGAAAACTCAAATCTGTGCTCACGGAGCAGTCTCTCAAGAAATCATGATCCTAATTAAGTTTTTCTACATTATAGTAACAGGAGTTTATCATTACATATTTCCTTCTTATTAATGTTCTTAAGTGTCAATTTTTTGCAACTGGTATTTTTTATTATTTACAATTACATCTGAAACATTCCTTCAACAGATATAAATATGTCACACTTTATTAGAAACAAATACAACGTAAATATATATATTATGACACCATAATAAGATAAATAATTGGTAGTGCCAACATTTAATGTAATATTTATATTATTAAAGTTTTATTTCTGTTAAAAAAAACTATAAATTCTTAATAATAAATCAAAACTAATGTTGCTGCTCATACGTCACAAGACAATAAAAAGGTTTTGGAATTTGAATAATGAAAACATTTAAAACTCATTTTAGGCACAGATTTGCTGACCTGTTTGTATGTAAAAAAAATCCTCTTAAATAAGTCATAATGATTTGAGGTGAAGTCTCATCTTCTTCTAAATGAAAGATTAGATGAATCTCACCTCTCTTGTTAGTTTTTGGCAGACTCTGCTCTGATCTGAGGAAAGTCTGAGAGCGAAGCTTGTCTGCTGCCGCCAGCTTTAGGACCACGTCCTTTAGGTCCTCCACCTGGAAAACAGTATGATAGCACAGATGTGACACATCTGGATTTAAAGAGAAGACATGTTCAGATGGTTTTGTTGTGTTTTTAAGTTCGTACATCAGAAGGCACTGCTACTGTTGTTCTTTTGCTTCTTTATTTAACCTGGACTTTTGTGCGAGTACATGTTTGACCTACTTTTGACTTGTAAAATGTTTTGTTCTTTTTTTAACTTTTGCATTTCTTGGTTTATTCATTGTTTTTTTTTCCATGGTAACACTGAAAACGTTATTTTTAAAAACTAATCCTTAAACAAACATATGTGACGTGGCTTACCATTGTTGCAAACTTTTCCTGTGGTGGTGAGTCTTTTACGCCTGAAATTAATTGTATGACATTGTTATTGAACCTATTCTTAATATATTCTCTGACTAATTAGACTTTATGGCGTCAACGATGTATGTCGTTGTTACCTCTGTTCCAGGACACTCTCCCGTCGTTCTGCTGCATCAGTAGAGGATACAGATTATTCACCTCTCTGTGTTCCCCCTCAGCAGTGTTGGGTCCATCTTCCACTTCTGACACCAACTTATGAATGAAATCTGTTGCAATAAAGCAAATTCATTTTTACTTATCCTGATTTGAAGCAACTGTGCTACTGAAGAGACAATTTACTCTACCTGCTTGTGGCTCCATGTTGGCTTCAGGGTATAAAGGCAGAGCTTGTGTCCATGTTGCAGAACAAAAGACAGCTAAGAGGTAAAACAGAGCTACAGAAAGCATGATGTCGCTATGCCCAGACCTTCAGGTTAAGACTGTCCCTCAGCTGGACCGAGAACTTCACTTATATCTCCTCTAAGGCCATCCATCACAATCTGATCAATAATATTATCATCACACCCAGTGTCCTTCTTAATGGTTTTGGCACGATGGATCAGGCGTCACTGAACACAATTTAGGGGACCTTGTCAATTCATCCGAAGCCTATCAGCGCTTGTACAGAGCAGCCAAACAAATGTTTGCTGTGCAGCAGTTATCGGAGCAGCTTTGATGGTTTTCTGTTCAAACGTGTGATTGCTCATGTCTGAGACCAACACGCAGAGCGGCTGGAAGTGTGTCGCCACAGGTTTCTACATCATACCCTGTTGAATGACTGACGTTATGTTGGTGAGCATGCCTTCCGTTCACCGGCAATAGTTGGGATTGATCTTGTTTTTGCACTTAACAAAACAAAGAAAGTGGCTTGTTTACGTCCAAAAACATCCTTTAATTTATTGTTTGCATTCTAAACAGCTTCTTTTTTTTTTGTATTTAGTATCAGCTCTGTCATTGTTTTTTCTTCTTATTTCTAATATTCCACTAAAATATTGGTTAATTTTACCATTTATAATTTACAAAAACAAAATGCAGGAAATAAGAAACAACATTTTATTTCTATGAACTGAAATCAGGACAAGATTTGTTTTACTAGAAAATAGACGTAGCCATAAACAGACAGCTGTATGTGGTTTGCATCATGCTAGATCAGCAGCTTGTGATGATACTTGGTTCTATTTACTATTGTTCTGAAACAGTTTGCACATTGTTAATGTTTTGAGTTTGTTTCATATTTGAAGTTCAATAAATATTAAGAGATTTATTGACTTCACAATCAATATGCTGCTAAAACGTGCATATATACAGTATATTGGCCTTAATAATCGGTTTTAGATATCGACCATTGGCAACAAAATTCTTTAAAAATTGGCATCGGCCTTAAAAAAAAACCATATCGATCGGCCTCTAGTTTCAAGTATATAAATCTGCAATTAACACCTATTTTTTGCACCAGAAGTGACTCATCATGACTGAATTAGGTAAAATCAGTAACATTGGAGCACCACAGGGGACTGTACTCTCACCATTCCTTTTCACCCTGTACACCTCAGACTTCCAGTACAAATCAGAGACCTGTCATCTACAGAAATACTCAGATGACTCTGCAGTTGTCGGGTGTATCAGAGATGGACAGGAAGCTGAGTACAGAGAGCTGGTGGAGCGCTTTGTGGCATGGTGTGGAAACAATCATCTGACCTTGAACGTGAACAAAACAAAGGAGATGATTTTAGACTTCAGAAGAAACAGGGTGGAATCAAACACTGTTTCCATCATGGGAGAAGAAGTGGAGGTGGTTGAGGAATACAAATACCTTGGAGTTCACCTGGACAACAGACTGGACTGGAGAAAGAACAGTGAAGCCGTTTACAAGAAGGGACACAGCAGACTGCACTTCTTGAGGACGCTTAGGTCCTTCAGTATCTGTAGCAAGATGCTGCACATCTTCTACAAGTCTGTTGTTGAGAGTGTAATCTCTTCAGCCATCGTCTGTTGGGGTAGCAGCATCAGAAGCAGGGACCTGAAAAGGCTCAACAGCCTAATAAAAAAAGGCTGGTTCTGTTGTGGGGACGACTGTGGAACCACTGGAGGAGATAATGCAAAGGAGGGTTCTCCAGAGAATCAAGAAAATGATGGACAACCCTGAGCATTCTCTTCACAAGACTGTCCGACAACGGAAGAGTGTCTTCAGTCAGAGGCTTCTTCAGTTTGGCTGCAACACTGACCGCTACTGGAGATCCTTCCTGCCAACAGCCGTTGTAATATACACTAACTCTTTGATGACTTGGTTATTATTATTATTCTGAGCTACTACAGCAATCAATTTCCCTCTGGGATTAATAAAGTATTTTTGAAATGAACTGAATTGAATTGAATTGAATCTAGGAGAGCTGAGTTCTGGATGTAAAAGAATTTGGTTTGCGTGAAGCTATGAAGTTGATTATTATCAAAAACACATCAGACGCAATCTGTCATGTCTACTTCACCCGTTTTCGGAGACCCTCGTGGTGGATCCGAAGGTCAGAGAGGTTGGATGACCTCTGGCACCGGAGGGCTGTTGAATACGGTGGCACCGACCCTTCAGTCCAGAGATGTCTCGGGTCACGACAGACGGATGGAACTGCGCATCTCTGGTGGACTCTTAAGGAGTCTAAACAATATCAGCTTGTTCTACAGGAACTGTTTGCTTTATCAGCTTTGCAGGTGCAAAAAGGTTTTGATGGATTAAAGAGGTCGTGCTTCAGCTGGCCGGTCTGAAGCTTTTCTCTAGAACTGAGGGAAAACCCGAGTAATCTGGTTTTAATGTTTTCATGTTATGATTGTGTAGCCAACCAGAGGTTGACAAGTTTGAGGAATATTACCAAGAATCTTAGAAACACGCCTTCTTTGATACCGGAGGCTCTTATCTGGAGTAAAGGCTATTTATGTGTCATGGGTTTAACTTTACCTTACTTTGTTCTTGGGTGAGGGCAAATGACCTTGTCAAGTAAACATGCTGAAACATATATCAATCAATGTAATCACAACATAATATTCATTTTAACTTCCATCATTGAGCACAGATTAATGAAAGCATTTCATTATATTAATTATCATAAGTAGCAATAAACAATGTTTATTTAATGATTATCTAGCTTATAAGTTTTAGAAGTTCATATGTAATTTTAAATCTTCTTTCTTCTGTGAAGCAAGGAGTCTTAGATAAAAGGGTGCTCTGGGAGGGACCTTGAGGAGAGAATGTTATTGTTGACATTTCATTATCTATGTCAGAGCTGCAGGCTCTGAGCTCCCAAACTTAAAAAGAGTAACTCCACTTATCACAATCCTCAGGAAGGAAGCAGATGAGCAGGGACCGGACCAGGCCCCAGGCGAACCGTAGAACTCCAGCAACCACAGCAGGAACCACAGGACATCCAGACCCAAGCGAACCGGACCTTCAGGCAGCAGGCAGCCGAACCAGGCAATGGTGTAGAGAGGTCCTCCCAGGAGGTGACGACCACTGACGAAACCCAGGAGAGGAGAAGAGCACACATGCAGGGCACTTGAATGTAGACACACATAGATTGCATCTGATGTAAAACAAAAAAAATTAAAGTAAACCTAGCACTATATGTACCTATATGTGCTATATGAAACTAATTATATGAACAGAGTTCAGGTGAAAGAAATGAATGCAGCAAACTACGTGTACTGGAAAAGTGTTGCAAAAAGAACAAAAATCAACATAACCCTATAATATATGTAAGGAAAATCAACGCATTGGAGCAAAAATGTCATCAAAACAGAAGGGCAAAATTATCTGTAGCCCATAACTGGTAGAAATCAAAATAAAATAGATCATAATAGAAATGACGAAAAGAAATCAGCTGTAATGAAATAATGCACAAATGGATATCTGTGAATATATCTTTAAAAGAATTAATATAATTACTAGTAAGAAAAAGAAAAAGAAGAAACACTAAAAATGTAAATCAGTGAAGTTAGTAATCAAACCTACATGTGAATGTACCCCATAAGGAATTATAGATTAGTAGATAAAAATTAAAAATGGAATTTGGATAAACACAACAGTATGTGGAATACTCCCTTTAACTGTTAAGACTTAACCATTATAGGACTCCAGGAACCCACAGCATGACCATCTCAAGTCACCCCAAGTCTGCACGTCATGTATAGACAGGAAGTACAACCACGCACACACACAAACACAAACAAACTTGTGTAACCTGAAACAGGGAACTATTGGACTGACGAATCTGGACAAATGAGATCACCCCCCTTTTGAAGTTGAAGGCCTAACCGAAGGCGTAGTAGGTGCAGGAGGAGATACAGGACCGGCCGGCGCAGGTGGAGGCACCTGGGCAGCCGGTGCTTCACAAACAACCGGTACGAGAGCTCGAGATAGGCGGCCACCGACGTTGCGGACCGAGTCCCCTAGAGAGGTCAACCGTGCTGAGAAGTGACGTAACAGGAGCCATGACAACCCCAAAGACAAACAAAGGTTTAGACATGCAGTGAATAACACGACAGAATCAGCGGAGGACCAGGAGTAAGACACTGGTTGAAACCTGAGACCAGGATCTGCCGACAACTCACGCAGCACCCTGTTCACCGCACCATGGTCGGATCATTGAATGTAACACGATCCACCATAGCTGGAGAAAGAGCAAAGGAGATGTTATCATAAAAAGGAGAAAACTCCACAACAGACTTATGCTCACCAGGATCCAAGTAATATAGAGAGACCTTACCTACGTGAACCACAGCACTACGTGGAACTGTCACCCATAGGGTTTGAGACGGAAGCACAACACGTGTGGACACACCATGATGCTCATAGAAAACATCAGCTTCACCAGCAGGGGTATTAACCAACCAACGTTCACCAACAACAACAGCAGTAGTTTGTACAACATGCGAACGTGGAGTCACAGACATAGGACATTTAGAATCACCCAACAACTCATCAGTGCAACACTCTGACTAGATAGATGCTAGCTCCCTCCTGCCTCATACATTTGATTGGCGTCAGTGGACCTTGTGTTTTAGTTTGAGGTTAGCTAGTTGCTTGTTTTAAATGTGAAACCTAAGCCAATACACTGTTTACTTAACCCTCCCACTGTCCTAATGGGTGTGATCCCACGAGGAAAGTTGACCATTGAGCAGGATTGATGGTTTATCCCTTGGGTTCATGTGACAGGGGTGAGGAGTGAGCACCACCTCACCCCTGTCACATGGACCTCAAGGGATAAACCATCAATCCTGCTCAATGGTCAACTTTCCCCGCAGGGTCAACCATAAAGACAGTGGGAGGGTTAACCCTTTGATGCATGAATTATGAAATCTTCAACCATGATTTTTTTTACCATTTTTTTCATTCGTCTTTAGGTGTGAATGAAACAAATTTCAACAAATATTTTTTGTAAAATTTTATAATTTACAAATAATTTATTACATGTCCACCTCAGTGGGCAGCGTGCATTCTGAACATGAAATATGTGTTCTTGGCTTACTGAAG